CGAACACCTATCTCGTGGGCGTAAAAAGTCTGCTGACCTTGAACTTTACCGCGGCGTACAAAGTCTGCCCGTGCGAACGCACGCTTATAAGAGGTGTTTTTTATTCTTTTATATACACGCACTATTTAATTAAAAAGTTTGTCTGTTCAGTTAAAACTGAAGGTATGTAGGTAAGGGATTGACGTTACAATATATCAATTGAATTTAAAAAAAATCCGTAAATGTGACCGATAGTTTAAGGACATTTGAAAATTGAAGGTTACACACAAAAGCACAAACTATGAACAAGTATAATTCTTTTCTATATTTATGACTAGCTATTGCTCGCGACTTCGGCCGCGTGTAATTTAAAAAATAATAAAAAATACAGCCTATGTTACTCACAGATAAATTACCTTTCTAATGGTGAAAGAATTTTAAAAATCGGCCCAGTAGTTTTTGAGTTATTTCAATACATGCAAAAATACAATAATACACATCTTTCCTCTTTATAATATTAGTATAGACTAGCGTTTGCACGCGACTTATACAGGGGATTAAAAAAAAATCTAGTAATAAAAATAGCTTGTAACACTCGGGATTAGTGTAAGTTCCCAACAGTGAACAAAAAATTTAATCGGTTCAGTAGTTTTTATGCCTGTTCAATACATATAATTATTTTTTTTCTCTTAATAATATTATACATGTTTTTATATTAAAAACTAATGATTCAAGTTGAATAACCGGTCAAGTAGACTTGCCGTGCGTACGCGCTGTCTATTTGCAGAAAATAAACATTCCTTGTGCACGCGACTTCTATGATGAAAGTAAGATAGTGGATGCGCCTACACTTGCGAACGTTGTCGCTTGGTTTGCAATATGTTTGTTTCATGACATATTCTCTTGGTATTATCTACTAAGTAACTTAATTCAGGATATAAAAACAAATACGCTTCAGTCCAAAATTATTCATTTTTAAACTAGGCATACTAAATTTGTAGGTTAATAAATTTATTACAATTGCTTAGATTTAAAAAAATGTAATTACTGTTATACCCCGCAATGTTAAAAAGAGGAAAAATTTGTATTTTTGTATGTATTGAAATAACTCAAAAACTGCTGGGCAGATTTTAAAAATTCTTTCACCGTCAGAAAGGTAATTTATCTGTAAATAGGCTACATTTTTTTTATTTTACGCGAGCGAAGTCGCGAGCAACAGCTAGTTGCAAATAAAATTATGACTCTTACTGACCTGTTTTTTATTTTTCAAAACCGGTCAAATAATTTGGTTCGACAGCGATGTTTTCAAAGATAATTAATTTTAAAAGCATGTTAATTAACTACGTGGTTTTCCCAAAGTGATGTAATGTTAAGTTAACATCCACACATAAAAACGATATGTAATTACTCTCATATAAAAACAATTATCTTGAGAATTTACACGTACAGAACATACCAGATATAGTAAGAATAATTTTCTGTAAAGTCTATCGAAAATTTGATTTTAAATAACTTTGAATTTCTAAACGATAATTATTTTATCGTAATTTAAAAAATTAAGGATTCAATTATAAGTATTAAAGCTTACTCATGGAGATGATAAATTTTCCATTCGTCTCCATATAATAGACTTCAACGATCCACACCCATAGTCAAGTCCATAGAGTAGCGGTACACAAGAATAAATTATGTTCATAGACCGTTATGCATACAACTTGCCGCCGGCCAAAGATCGATGAACGGACAGACGGATTTCAATTTTTCACTGTACATAAAATAATTAAAATATTGCTTTTAAGTTTTTTGTATCATCAACTCTAGTTCAATGCAAAAAGTTTTATTACAATAAGTAACTGGAGATTGCAATTAAAAAATTAAGTCACTTTGATGAACATTTTGTTAACCAAAGGCCGCTTATCCTACTGCTCTAGGGTCGGCGATCGGTTTTGTCCTCCAAGTAAGTCTATCATACATCATCTCAGTCATCTTTCCCTTTTTGATCATGTCACCTTTCACGCAATCCATCCATCTCTTTCTAGGTCTACATTTACCGGTTTATACCATACTATATATAACTAAAGACTAACAGAATTAAAATGGATTTTTGTTTGAAGTAAGACTTTGTGTTAATGATATTGGCTATCCAGTTGGAGCCAAAACATATATCAAAATGTTTTATGAAAATTTCAAAGTATCGGTAGGTAAGCATTTAGCGCAAGCAAGTAACACAGACGTGCTAATTGGCGCTCCGCAGCGTTTGCACGAACTCAATCTACGTTTGTTCGCAACACGACCAATCAAATGCTCATATTTATAATGGCGACTCATAACTTAGCAGTAAATGTGACGTCAAAGTAAATTTAACTATCAAAACACTTAATAGAATAAACACTTAATGTTAGCAGCTCTGATAGTCATCGATGGACTGTCATGGTGACAGCTCCAAAATGCTAGAAAACTTGGTAGCACAATACTTAGGTTATTTTAAGACAACTACATGTAAATCACCGAAATTATGAGACGGGTCACAGAGCGGACGAAATTTTGCGATTACGTAAATGGCGGAAGTTACGAACGAGTGCAAAACCGCAATTGACCCGCTTCTGTTCCGTAACAAGTCGAAAATTAGTGAAAACATTTTTTTAATGGCTGCATAAAGTATGGACACGAGACGTTAAAAACATGTTGCTAATAAGTGTTAACTAGCGACCAGTCCCAGTTTTTAGAAAATTGATAAACAAAGATGTAAGTCACGCCCTGTTTGTGAAGCTGAAAATGGTAGAGTCAATATTAAAAAGGGTTGAGTAACTTTGAATTCGATTGAAGAAATAGTGGTTGAATTAATTCAGTACAACAACATCTTTTCTGTCATCACAATGGTGTACAAAAACATATTCGAAGAACAGGTAAAATTCAAGCAGAATTGTTCGCTTGTAAACTTTCCTTACTAAAAGGAGAAAAGTAAGCAAGCATCAAACTTGATGTTAACTTACTATAAATGCGGATTCAATCAGATTTCATGAACAATGTTACTTATGGACAAAAGATTTTTTACGAAAAAACTATGTAAAGAGATGAAGGGCGAGGAGAATTGTCCTATTGAAATTTTAAGAAAATCTCTTGGAAAACTTTATCTTGAAGTTGAGTTGCACCATAAAGATGATCTTCGTTAAGACACGATGGCAACCTTCGTCTGTTATCTCATATCGATTCAAGGTCTTAACTCGGAAGTCGTGACTCGTGACTTGTCGACCTCAATGCGTTTTTTACTTAACTTATAGGTAGAGGTGAACTTTTGTACTTCACATATTTCTGCATAAGTACTCGTACTTAAGTATACTTGATTCTATCAGGACGTTGCTTAATAGCAATCTTAAAACAACTGTAATAATTTTATGAATCGTTAATAAAAACGCTTTAAAATACGGAAGAATAGAGCTACTGGTGGTTTAAAGGTCTTTTTATATCATAACAACCACGCATGGATAGTCGAGATAAAAAGTCTGTACAAATAAAAACGGCTTGAAGGTAGTAAAAGGAGTAACAGGTTTCATCTTAAACAAGCGTGTAGTTGCAATAATCACGTACTTAAATCGTGACCGCGGCCTTTTCTGCGAAACTGTACTGGAAAATAACTCACTGAATCATAAGGATATGTGACCTGAGATACGTTTCATAGCAGTTTTTTATTTATCTAGATACGAAGATAGAATGATTCCCTCTCCTCCACTGACAATACCCCAGAACTTCACTGACATTACCTAAAACATATTGTCATCCCTTACATTATCTTTGACGCAATTAGGACAACATAGCTAAATACACTACAATTATAATTTTCGGAAATAAACATAACTGATATGTGTGATTGAGAAATTAATAATAGCTGCTATCATTATCTCCCCTACCTTATCCAACTCTCGTAGGGTCGGCGTACCGGGTTTTCGTCCACCAAATAACTCTATCATTTGTCATCTCAGTCACCACTCCCTTCTTGATCATGTCACCTTTCACGTAATACCTCCCTCTCTTTCTACGTCTACCTCTACCAGAGTACCCCTCCACATTCATAACTAACAATGTTCAAAAGATATTATCTGCTAGCTTTTTAATATTTCAGTCTTGTTTAATGTTCGTTTCTTTCCCAGAGCGCCACATCCCAGTCCAAACACGCAGCGCGATTCCTTCGTCTCGCCATGGCATCTATCATGGATATTCTGAAGATCAAGCCCTTCGTTGCCGTGTCTGTTGGTCAGCTACTCTGGGGCTACGAGGATCCTCTGCTTAAACTCGCCAAGGATGTCGTGCCCAAAGAACAGAAGCTGCCTTATGAAGAATTCGGACTCTTCTATGGGGTAGGTTGTTCTGAAGTTATCAGCTAAAGTAATCAATAATAAATTATGTTTAAACTTGAGAAGTATGTGAACATTCAAAATCAGAATAAGTGTAATAGCCGAACACAATATAAAACGTACATAGATTGAATCTTTGTTAAGTTAATAAATAAATCTTAATTACAGAAAAACGGCACCTCCCCTGACATAGTGACTATGTTCTCCGGCGCGAAGGATATGGCGCACTATGGCATCTTCGACAGGTGTGTTAAACATGTTGTACTTTTATGGTAATTGTAAGAACGGGGACTAATTTACTTTCTTCGTATGTACTAGCCGTTTAATAATTGGTTATGTTTTACTTTCTTTTCAGGTATAATATGCGAGAGCGTCTTCCTCACTGGACGACAGACGAATGCAACAGCATCGCCGGATCAGACGGCTCCATCTTTCCGCCGCACATCACCAAGAATGACACCCTCATGGTTTACGATAAAGATCTCTGCAGACTTTTACCACTAAGGTAAGTCCACACACATTATGAAGTAAAAACCAAATCAATAGCGCCATCTGTCGAGAAGAACGATAACGAATCTGTATATTTCTAACTTAGTCATAATGGTCAATGGAAAAGGGAAAAGGTGACAACGTTCGTGTGAAACCGGAAAGAATCGTTTGTACTATGAAGATAATTTATAAACAAATGTATAAAAAAAATAAAACTTCCATAAAAATAATAATCTACAAACAATGATTGTTTCCCTGTTTAACAGTCGCGAAAGTCACAACAACGATCGTGTCGAGAACAATGGCCGCATTCGACTCCCGTGAGACTCGCGTTACGTAACCTGAACCGAACGCAACTAAACGCCACATATTAAACTCTCGTGAATTTAAAAGATTACGTGTTAATGCTGAATATTAAAATGAGTTTTATGAAATTATTTGAACATTAAATTCAATAGTCTTTCGATAGGCTAAAAATTCTAGAATGAAGACAAAATACGTCTCAAATGTGGCTGGACAAATTTTTTTATTAATAAAATTTAGTTAAGACTTTGACAAGAGATAAACTGTGCTCAAATTTCAGAGGCAAAATCTTCAACCCTGCATAAATTTTAATGTCTACACAATAACACTAAGCAACGAATTAACCATTAAAACCATCGAGCGTGGAAGATCTAGATACGATCTTCTTAGGTTATTAATTAAACAAGTTGTTTCTTACGCTTTACAGTAATGAATCATTTAAACAATATGATTTCTATTAATCGTATATTCATAGGATATTATATTGAATTTCGATTTAGTCAGGGTAATTCCTATTTGATTATATACGTTAGTATCAACAAATGTCCATAGTCAAGTCAAAACAATAAACAGCGTGACAAAGAGTCGTCATGAGTCAGGCGATAGACGTATACTAACCACAACAATAGCTTCTTAAAACTATTGTACGGTAATGCCTTTACTCGCACACCTTTGTTTATCAATGTATAAGCGAGGAAATCTTACTACACGAAAGACGACTACGACGAAAGTCTTACTATAAATAACTGATTAGATAACAGTGATTGCCAACGAAGGGATTATAATAAAAATTAACTAGCCGTGTGTCGCTAAACGATTTTTTTGGTACAGATACATTGATAAGCTGCATTGTATTGATTTTTGTAGTTATATCAAAATGTTCAAACGATTGTGGCTTCTAATATGGAACACCGACAGTTTCCCTGATTGTACAAATGCTTGTTTCGATTTCCTAAACGCTGAGTATGAAGCTTTTATATCGCTGTAAGAAATACTAGCAATAATTCTTAGAAGGTAATAGCTCAGTATCAGTACCATCTGAATAATCGATAATGAAAATGTATTTTTGGCATGCTTGAGTTTTACATTTGCTGAGTAAATCATGTGAAAAAATTTCTTACTCATCAGTAAAATCGATAGTAAAACAACAATCTTCATTATTAGCACAATTTTTTTATTTTTAATTAAACACAATTTTATTTTTAATTCATCACATAATTTGTTACTATCTCTCTATCGATTTCAGGTTCCTTGAAGAAGTGGAATCTAAAGCCGGTGTGCAAGGGTACCGGTTCACTCCGCCAGAGGACGTGTTCGCGGCGGACGAACACAATAAGTGCTTCTGCCCAGCCGGCCCGCCCTGCGCACCGCACGGCCTGTTCAACGTCTCCCTTTGCCAGTATGGTGAGTAGATGAACATCAAGAACTTGCACAAAATTAGTGAAGATACAAGTAATCTCATATAAGGGACATCTATCGGTGGCTCGGGTTTAAGCATTTGACTTGTAACCTACAGATCTTGGGTTCGAAGCCCGCCATGTACCAATGGGATTTTTGAATTTCATATGTACATAATTTACCCCACGGTCTTACGGTGAAGGAAAACATTGTGATGCAACCTGCATATTTGGGCGAAGAAATTCAAAGATATGTGTGACGTCAACCCGCATTGGACCATAATGGTTGACTTAGGAACTAGTCTTTACCGTAGGCTCCGAGCCTTTTATTAGGGAAGTATACTGGTGATGATGGATGACTATGGACGTGGGAGTTACGTTACTCTTTTTCCTTTGTTTTGTTAGCCTTTTTAATTACATTAAGAGTTGCTGGCGCACATCTTTGACTAAACTATCGCACACTGTTGTGGCGATTGTCGATTGCTTCGCAGCCAATTCAACTGTCTAGTTGCACAAATTAAAATTGAGTAATGTGCACACACATATAAGCTCATAGGAATCAATGCAAGACTAAATGGCTGTGCGATAGTTTAGTCAAAGGTGTGCACGCGCTCGGTGTAATCAAATCCCTGAATAGACGCTATCAAAATGGTTAAAAACTCTTTGGCAAGATTTTCTATCTGTTATTATTTGTCTGTTAATTTAGCAATTTTGTAAAAATCTTGTTTTCATTTCCAGATTCCCCAATAATGCTGTCTTTCCCTCACTTTTACTTGGCGGACGAGAGCCTGCGGGCCGCGGTGGAGGGCATCTCGCCACCCATACCTGAGAAACATAGACTCTACATCGATGTACAACCGGTATGTATTTTTCTTAAATTTAATGTCGAAACACATAAAAACATATCCACAAAGAGACAGAGATATTAGGATTTATTTAAATATGTAACAGCGTCTTCAAAGGCCACGTTAAACTCCAAATTTCATACAAAGTATAAGCAGCTCTTACAAAGCGAATTATTTAAAATTCGTTTCAGTATTAAGCCATAAGAAGTATCATCATTAACTTGCCCTTGTCCCTATGGAGTGCACAATATGGCTGCTCTTCCATATATCAGCCGTCAAATCTAAATCCACTCCCTTCTTAAGCATATCCTCTTTCAATCCATCCATACTTTCTTCGGTATTCCTCTACTTTTGTAGCAATACATTCAATTTTAACTCTTGTTTTTGTCCCCTTCCTTTCGTTGCATTACAAGTTCATACATATAATCCTTTTGCTTCTGAAATTCCCGACCACTGGCGCTACTTTCTTTGCCCATCAGAAGCGTTTTATGATATAACACCACGGATTTCAAAAATACTTTACAGGACAGAATAAAAACTGCATAATTTTGTAAAGGTACTCTACTAATACGCTGTCTGTGTATACTTAATTTAAGTTATGTTTAATGTAGAATACGTGTTTCTGATAGACTGAGACGATGCGTCTTCCGATCCTTTAGATAATGGCATCAGAATAGTCAAAAAGTGACTCACGTGGTATTAGAGGTTCAACGACAATGAATGTGTTTGTACAGGAGATGGGTATAGCGATGCGAGCGCGCGCACGCATACAGATCAACTTGGCGGTGTCGCAGGTCGTCGATATCAAGCAAGTCGCCAACTTCCCAGATATCGTCTTCCCCATACTGTGGTTCGAGGAGGTGAGAGTACTTTATCTTCATAACGAACTAACTTTGAATTTTTGTTACTACTAACTGAACAAAAATAATAAAAAGGAATAAAAATACCGACGGATTCCGATGTACGATGCTTGGTGCTCTATTTTTTTATATAATATTTTTTATTGTTTTGTACTTTATAATGTAAAATCATACTGATATTATAAATGCAAAAGTTTAGAAGAATGGATGTTTGTTAGTGTTTGTAGCCTAAACGAATTTCGATTATATTTAACATAGATTTAGAGGTTAGTCTGGAAGAACACATAGGCTCCTCACTTTTGTTTTTGTAATTCCACGCGGACGTAGTCGGAGGCGAAAGCTAGTATAAAATAAAGATATAAGAATAAGATTGAACAAGATGTGTAATCCATGTGTGACGTCAGGGCATCAACGAGCTGCCGGAGCAGGTGTCGTCGCTGCTGCGGCTGGCGACGCGCGTGCCGCCGGTGGCGCGCTCGGCGCTGGGCTGGGGGCTCTCCGCGCTCGGCCTGCTGCTCATACTGCTCGCCGTCACCTGCCTCATCCGGTAACTGCCTCCATACTCTCATCATACCCCCCTCCCCTAGCAACGCCATCTAGTTTAAATATTTTGAAATCACGGTTTTACGTCACAAGTAAACTTAGGTTTTCTTTAGATGTTATATGCTGGGTTTTCACTTATTTTGTCATTACCTAGCGATTTATTAGGGTTAAGCTCATCTACTTTTTAACGGAGTAAAACTCTAGTGCGGAAACGCATTTTATGAATTCATTGAACCAAAAACATTATCGAATGGCTAAACGTAGCTGGGGAACCGGCCATTATAATTTTAAAGTCAAGTTTGATTGTATGTTACTTCTACTTATATTAAGAATATACTAGTTAGGTATTAACGAATTGTTTAATAGATTTGCAGTAACGAGAAGGTAAAGACTTATTCTTATAATGAAATTATTGTGTTTGTTTTCCAGGTCATCACACCGGCAGAGCACGCTGAGGCTGGAGGGTCACGCGGTGGCGAAGGCGCCGCCCGCCAAAGCCCCCGGCAAAGAGAACGGCTACGAACTCAACAACAGAAGATAACCTGTAAAGTTTTATTATAATTTAATGACAATATATTTTTTCATACAAAATGTCTTGAGACTGACGATGAAGAGTTTTAGACAGTCTTACTTCTTATTCATCAAAGACATAGCCGAACCATAGAGAATATTTTTGACTCCGAGATTTGACGTCTTCGATAGAATAATTTATTTCTAAAATTCTGATGTAATTTCCATTTTAATATATTTTAATTAAATGAAAATTATCAACTCCCTAGTAATTTGTCCTTTGACAAATAAACTGTTAACCCTATTGATAATGAATATTAATTCAGTTTGTCTAAAACCGGTTATATCGTAGTTAAACTGTTTTTGTTAACTAGAAAAGGAAAATGGCGAATATACTCCATAAAAAAACTTTTAATTGTACTTTATAGATAAATCTTGTTAAATTTTATTTTATAGTTGAAATGTCAAAATGACATTTTGATTGTCACTTTGACATATTCACACAGAGTAGTTTTTTTATACCAATATGTTTTAATATCTATAAAATCCTATAAAATCTAACCGTCGGTGACTAGCAGCTGGGGAATAGGGTTAAGTAAATATTAGCATTTTTTACTTGTGTAGGTACCACCTTATTTTTCTATAAGTTCTTTTCCTTTTATATTTTAGTCTTTTACATCGACGAATGTGATAATGTTATAATTCCATTATAGTTTTTATTTTGAACAAATTTTAGAATAAAACAATTTCAATATAATGTAAAAATTGCATGTGTGACATTTTTAAATTTCATTAGAATGACTACACCTTAGCATGACATTTAAATATGAACCATAATTAGTGACAATATCACAACTGTAAATATTATAAATGTAACTTAGACAAAGTGCAGGCAGATATATAAAATATTTTTATATGGGGCAAAACCAATCGCCAAACTCGAATGATATGTTTTTGAACGTTTTAAAAACATAGTTTCTTTTTGTGTCAGCGTTCACCGCATTTTGCTATAATCAAAAGTATATGAAACACTCAATTGGATCTTTTTAATTAGGACAAAACGTACGTAAATAGTCATAAGTACGCTAACTTGGATCTAAATAGCAATTTTCTTGCGTTACGTGCCGCATACCGTAATTGATAATTTGACCATTTTATAATTTTAAAAATAAATGTGTTAGTTCGATCATATTACCGATATCTACTAGTCTAATGTGGGTCCGTCCTTATATTTTTAGGCGTACTATTAAATCTTTTACCATTTTACTGTTTGTAGTCTTAATCGCGGATTGGTTAGACTCTAAGTCGTTTGTTGTAAAAAAATTATAATGATTTGGCTGACAGCCAAAAATGTTGGTATGAAATAAAATCACATTTGGTGTTGCCACCATAAATCTCATAAGCCGCACAAAAGACAATATTTTTATACTAGTTAGGATTATGTATAAATTAACTTGTATTGACTCCTATGATAAAATCTATGGCCTCTGTATTCATGTTTGACAAAAATGTTACTAATAATATTTTTGTGTGTTAATTTGTATAAATTTGTAAGTATGGCAACACTTACATATGTAACTAAAATTATAAAATTGTAATTTAAAATTACAAAAGTGAATTTTTATTTTACAGATATCTTAAGTGTTGCCATTTATAGATTGTTTATTGCTCAAATTCCGTACTTATTTTTTTTCATTAATTGTTTAATGTGTGTAAATGTTAAAATTATTCATTAATGTAAATAAAGAAATAAAGGTGTAAGTTACATTATTTATTTTTGTATCCTTTTATACCTTTTTGGACAAATAATATTGGACAGTTGGTAACATCACTGTCATTACAACTGCCGTCCAATTGAACCAAATAACCAAAAAAGAGTTTTTCAAAGGGAAGGAGAAAGATGGCAGTTCAAATTTGTTATTGCCTCATACAACAGTGGAAATTAATTTTTTGTCCTCCATTACCAATTCACAACACAGGAACTAAGGGCAACTAACCACATACACTTCAGAACAAATAACATTCACGCAAACATGCAAGGGGTTCTGGGTTATATGAAACAAAAGTTATATTTTACAGTTTTATTTTTATTACATGGCAATACACTAAACAAGCCTATTCGTATTAATAGTTGATATATGAAAATTGAATCGATAAACAGTTAAAAATAAATATGGTGCATTTTGTAAGGCGGACAATTCACGCAAGTGCTTGTAACATATGTCACTTGATCACAATATAGACCATGGTAGTACTATTAGAACAGGAATGCGTTCTATCTGTACATCTTGCAGTTAAAATAACGAAAAAAATACCTTATGGTAAGGGCGTAAGAGTCTTGTTGCAAGCAAAATGAAAATAAATATGTGTCCGATATTTCCCTTTCTAAAATCCTTAAGTCATAGTTAACATAGTCACCATCGCCAGAGAGGGATAGAACTGACAGTTATTGAGGTCTCGCTCGGCGTCAATTTTTTGACAAGAGCTCAGTCCTGTTCTAGTAGTACATCCATGATATAGACAAAGTTATCTGGTCCGGTGAATGATGTGTGCTATATAGTTTGGTCGTCAAATGTAACACCTTATGCAGGTTTTACATGTATTGTCATAGACAATTATAGAGTCCAACACATTATCAATGGTCCAACAAGAATAACCTTGTGGACCAATAATAGTACACGCCAATGACCAGATATCTATGGAAAAATCAATTTTATAACATTCTTAAAATAATTACAACCTATATGATTCATTAAAATATAGGAGAGGAAATATATACAAGCTGCATAATTATACATTTCATTTCTGATACATAGTTAAAGTAAATTAAAATTACATGATGTAATAAACCAAAATATAAAGACAATGGACATTTGTCTACAATAATCTTGAGTCTTAAGACACAACTCTTGCGCATCTTTGCCGATAGCCTCATGACGTCACACGTTGACTGACGGTAAGTATTAAGGGGAGTAACCGGCAAACCCACGCAACGGCAAACAGCTTTCTTTTTTAAATAACAAACTTCACGAAACTAATAGCCTTACATATAAACGCGGTATAAAGTTAAACTTAGGAATAAACTAAATATAAGCAAAATTTGTACTAATATATGCTTAAAATCAGTTTATTCCTAACTTTAACTTTATACCTCGTATATTTGTAAGGCTGTAAGTGAAATCATTAAAATGTCCAACTTCAAAAAAAATTAAGGAATCGTGAATTTTTTTAAGATTTCGAGGTAGATGATATGGGCAGTGTTAGACAAGTTGGCTAGGAATTACATTAATTTTGACGCTTAATTTTTTTTTTAATTTAATTAAACAACGACATTTTAAAAATATCTTATTAATTATTAATTAGTATGCTAATCTACCGAAACCATGAATTTAATAAAAACCTCAAAGAAACTTTACAATAGAAGTTCTGCACAAATGATTCTAAAAAAAAAAATATTGAGACTACCAAAAGTGCAGCTCTCTCTTCCACATTTGTGCAATAATCGTTCTAATATAATAAAAATTAAAGTTTCTTTAAAACAGTTAATGAACAATTTATTAAGATTTATTAAATTACTTTGAATTATAACCATTTAAATACATTTTTATCATAGAAATATACAAGTCAAATATTTATATAAAAATAGGATATACTTCATAATTGAAATTCAAAATAATTTTATTCGTGTGAAAAAAACTGAATTTTATATAAAAAAGCAATAATCCTTTTTTATCAGACATGAAAGTAAAAAAAATGTCTTTTATATTGTAATTTTAAATATAACAAGTACATGTTTTCAATAAAATTACTTACTTAATTAAAAAATAGTCACATAAAGTCCCTTAAATTTTTACATTATTTTTTATAACATATCATTATTTTACCCGTAATCATTTAGATAAAACCTTAAAAAACATTCGTTGTCAAAATAATATTTGTTATCAAACAGGAAATTGAAAAATAAACTTAACTTTAAAAATTGCAAATATATTATGCATTTTTGAGAAAATTTTCACCAAAAATTTACAAATAACATAAAAATTATAAACGTCAAAATCCCTAAGAAATAACATATATAGTTTGACAACGATCATGTTGAAAGGAATTTTAGTGGAGATAAAATGGCTCTCATAAATCATGAGGCAATAATTTCATTTCACTCCCTAGAGAGTAATAACAAAAACGTCTTGCGTTTTTATTTTAACTATAAAACATTCAAACAGTTTTATACCGTAACTGTAACGTGATCTTAATAAAACTAAATGCCTAAACGAAAAAAAAAAACAATTTTCGTTCGACAACTCGACGTAATACGTTTTAACAATATTTTAAACATTCTGCCACTTTGAGTCGCTTGAAGATTTAAAAAGTCCATTGTTTAGTAAAATACTCTAAGAATTTCGCTTTGACGATTTTATAGTTTTTTGTTTTTCTATACATCGTCCATACATTTTTAATTACTTGTATTTTTTACCTAAATCTTGGTTAATTTAAAATATTTAATTTAACCATTCTATATACCATATCATTAACTACACTTCTACGTAGGTATAAATTTTAAGCTATATTGCAAATGTAATAAAAAAAAATACTATTATATATTATATTATTGCAAGTAAAAATATGTAAAATAAGCAATGAATTCATTTTTAAAAATGTATATAGCCATAAAGAAATTCAGATCATAAGAACATGCAGTTTTTGCAAATAAAAGTGCAGAAGCAATATTGTTACAGTAAGGGTGAGTTTCCACTACCGACTCTTCGCAAAATATACACAAATAACACTATTCTTACTAAAATATAATTAATGTTTTTCTCTTCGTCAGAGCGGTATAATTGTCATATATCTTGGAGGTTCTTAAATTCGCGCGAGTGGATTATTCCCAACCGTCACCCTACTCTGTCCCCACGTGAGAATTAAAAGTTTCATCCGTCCCACCTTTTATACCCACTATCACCCAATAAGGTGACAGGTGGAACCATTGTTAAATAAAAAAGTTCCAACCGTCCCATCGTCGCAAAAAGTGGGATAGGTGAAACTTTTTATTCACATCTGCCTCCACGTGGGGACGGTTGGGAATAATCCGCGCGAGTCGCTGCGCTGGACTCTATGTTCAGTGTTGCGGAGAGAGGGCATTGTGATGCCCGGTGACCTTGAGGCGCCAAAATATTTGAAAAGAACTATATTTAGCTTGTAAATAGAAATTCCTTCAAACGCTACTTTTATTAGATCATATTAAAGTAAATGATGAAATTAGTTTTAATTTTTTCCGCAAATGGGTTTTATATTTCGGGTCGTATATTCTATAGTGTTGCGTTAGTGGAAACGCGGGTTTTCTATTAATTTTGTATATCTCTTTTTTGCTTCTTTATTGGCAAAGCGGTATGATTTGTTTCATTTTTATTTTGAGATTTTACAACCGATGTATTACTTATTGATATAACATTACTTCCTATGACATTTGCACTTGATACGTTTAAATTGTTAAAATCGATTTTAGAAACTTTTAATATTTTCCTCGTTTGTATTGGGTTTGATTGTATTTTACTTATTGCTGTTATATTTTTTATATTTGTCATGTATCCGCTCGCACTCGATGCTGGGACAATTATTATGTTTTTAATCGATTTAATTTTTTTAATTTCAGGTAAAACGGCGATAGCACCTTCTTGATCTGCTTTACGTTTAAGAGTACCATCGTATGGGATAATCACATGTCTTTTAATATTTGGCGATGTTTTGTCAAAATCATTTTTATCTATTGATATTTGTAGTGGAGGGGTCACTTTTTCTTTTACTTTAGAATCTATTTGAACGTTGTTTTTTGGTATGACTTGTATTTTTTCCCTGTCCAATTTCTTGATAGTGACATCTCCATCTTGTTCTCGCACCAACATGAAGGATTTGAAATCTTTCTTCAGATCGCTATCGTAAGATGAATATTTCAAAGAAACTATTGTATTAGCAACTAACATTGACAACTCTCTGTTACTTATTTCATTGAGGAGATGATTAACAGAGTTGCCTGAAGAGTTCTCTATAGCTGGATCAGCTCCGAGTTTTATTAAAGTTTCTATTGTCTTCAAATAATTGTCAGCTATTTTGGATTTGTTGCCTCTTTCTGAAATAATTGATGTAGTTAATTTAGTCTTTAATAAATATAATTCTAATTAATTTAAGTATAATTAAATAATATAGGGAGCGTCGGTGGCTCAGTGGTTTGAACACTTGACTTGTAATCTACAGGTCTTGGGTTCGAATCCCGACGTACCAATGTGATTTTCGATTTTTCGAATTTTCATATGTACATAATTTACCCGACGTTCTTACGGTGAAGGAAAACATCGTGATGCAACGTACACATATCGGCGAAGATATTCAAAGATATGTGTAAAGTCAACCAACCCGCTATGGGCCAGCGTGGTTGACTATGGCCTAGTCACTCCTTATTAGGGTAGGCTGAGCCCCTCGGTGGGTACGTTTAGTGAGCTGGTGATGATGAAGTATAATTCGATATAAGAAAGTAAAACATGAACCGAATTATTTCATAGCACGAATATTTATGACTATTGTCGTTATATCGCAGTCGACAAAATTTGTAGAATTTGAGTAGCATTGATATCTGGTGTGAAGTACACGGAAAGTCTCGTACTAATGTTGACATAGTTGATATTGGGGATATGAAGGCGATTGACACAAATATTCGTGCTAGTCTACAAACATTTCACTCAATATTTGTATAGAAGTGCTGCATTGGATTAAGTACAGTCTAATATAACGCCAAAAATTGTTAATGAATTTAAAAAACATCTTCATACACTTTTTAAGAAATGAAACAACAATAAATATTAAAGACTTGCTATTGCTCGCGACTTCGTCCACGACAAATTATAAATTATTAACACTCGGCGATGACGTAACCTTTTAATATTGAAAAAAAAAATTAAATCCGCACAGTAATATTTGGGTTATTTCAATAAATACAAAAAATACAAATATTTCCACTTATAATACAGTAGAACCTCAATAACTCAAACCTCGGTAACTTAAAAACCTCTCTAACTTTCAAAAATAATATGTTTCCTTTCTATCAGAGCTTTCTACAACATAGACCCTTGATAACTTAAAACCTCTATAACTTAAAATATTTTGTGTTTCCCTTGGACTTTAACTTATCGAAGTTCTGTTGTGTAAGTATAGATAGAATTGCTTACTTTCAGCGTCAATGCAGGCGGTGGCGACGGCCTCGTACAGCGCGGTGTTGCCGCAGTTGGGCATGGGCAAGTTGACAGTGCTTGTATCTGATTCCAGCAACATTTGTACGTTGGCATAGTTTCCTTGTTTACTGGCAAGCATTAAGGGCGTATAACCTGAAAATAAATGCATTTTAAAATTACAATTGTTAAGATTTATTTTTTTATTATTATTATACTTTGAATGCTGGGCCACCAAAGTTGCGGATGAAAGGAGATTGCATGTGGCTGAGATGTGTATGTTAAGATGGATGTGTGGTGTGACAAGATTGGATAAAGTTAAGAATGTGTACATTAGAGGAAGTTTGAAAGTAGCGCCAGTGGTGGAGAAATTGAGAAGCAAAAGGTTAGCGTGGTATGGACATATTATGCGACGAAATGATGGGGACATAAACCAGAAAGTGTTGAGATTGAATGTGGATGGCTACAAAGGAAGAGGAAGACCGAAGAAAGTATGGATGGATTTTGTGAAGGAAGATATGCTTAAGAAAGGAGTGGATTCAGATATGACGGCTGATAGAGATGTATGGAAGAGCAGCACATACTGTGCCGACCCTCCATAAGGGATAAGGGCAAGTGGATGATGAATTGTTAAGATTTATAACTACTAATAAGCTTTTAGTTTAGTTAAAAACGATAAAAAATTGGAACGTCTATTAGATTTGTAAAATCGTATCTATTAGACATTTTGACGAGATATTTAATGGAAGATTATTTAGATCATAGTTACCATGACTATCATACATTAAGGAGATTTTAGAAAGGAGATATTTCACGACCAATTCGGGCTTCATTGTCTCAAAATCTGGTCTCCACAAGTCATTTTCCTCGAGGATGTGCCTGGAAAACAATTTATTTTTAACACAATCAAATTAAGTTTCCGGGGAAATAGTTCTTTTCCTTGTAATTTGCGATAAAACACTGCAATTTTATTTACAAATGGTGCATGCGTTCTTGAAATAATGTGTCAATCAATAAGGGGAAGTACCAAGCCTCAGTATCAATACGGCCTGGTTTTACACATTTTTATGACATCAAATTAATACAAAAATGATATATTGCATTGAATCTATACATAGAAAAACATTAGAAGTGTCTATATATATATCAAAGGAAAAATTCCAGATTTCGGGAAGATGATATATTTGCGTTGCTGATAACGAAAATCGCATTTAAAATTTTTTGTCTGTCTGTCTATCCGCAAGCCGCGTTTGTTCCCACTGGACTTTCACTAAAGGGTAGCTGACATAGACGGGTATATTTTAGGCTAATTCTTATCTTAATATTGCGTGGACGAAGTGAACGGGCAATAGCTGGTTGCTAATAAAACTGTGTTGCTAAAAAAAATCATCACTTTAATATGGACGAAAACATCTTCAACATTAGATTTAGTCTATCTGGAAGATTTGCCGGTACAGCCCTTAAGGTAACTGGAAAAAAATATCTAAAACGTTCGCAAATAAAAATTAAACTGTCGGACTTACCGTGCATTATTCTGACAGCAGTTTATGATCGCTTTCATGTGGTCTGGACTCATCTCGGCGGCGAGATGGACGGCGGTGCGCTGGTCGTCGTCAGTAATCAGCGGGTTGGCACCATACTGCAGGAGTACGGCGGTGCACGACGCGTAGTCTTGTATTATGGCCATCTGGAGAGCCGTCTGCAAATAGCCCTAACATTTATAATTCATCGGAAAATATAACATCCCCTCTCTGGCCGTCTGCTGACGATTAGAAGTAGGCATCGCATCTGCAAGCGTATATGGACTATGGGCACTTCTCTGTTTTTGCGAATACAAGTGGCTATTTGATCGTTTGACACTTTTAAATGAAAAAATCAGATATATCCTCCAGGTCCTATTTCACACCATTTCATATCGTCATTCCCATCTTGAAAATGTCACCTTTCATTTTATCCGTCCATCTATCTGTAGCCTTATATTTCAGTCTAAATTAATCTTTATTAATATTATATAGATAAAATATTATATAAACGATTTGTATTTTTGTACGTATTGTAATAACTCAAAAACTACTGGACCGATTTCAGAAATACTTGCACCATTAAAAGGCTGTGTTATCATTGAGTAACATAGGTTATATATTTACCGTTTTTTTTTTTAATTTCACGCGGGTGAAGTCGCAAATAACTACTAGTTAAAAATAAAGACAACTCTAATTACTCGTAATTATTTTTACTTATTAGAAACCTCGTACCTATTGTTCATCCATTATACGAAATTATTTTGTGCAAAAACGTATTATTAAAATAGAAAAATATTTGGGGCAAACCAACAATTACTTGTTAATTCCTTTAAACCACATAAACACACAGATTTATCAATACTTCAAATTTCTGTACAGTTAAATCGCAGCGCGGGACTTCCCCGAAATACGTTTCCATTGGTTGTTGCTTGCATAATTGATGCCGCTACATATCAAATTGCAAGCGACATCAGTTAAAAACCAATCACAAAACAAGATTTATCAACATTGACTGCATAAAGAGATAACATAGTGTTATACATTTTACGTAGATTTATTTCAAATAGAGACACGCCCCGTGATCTACATTATAGAAAAATATACAGAATCACTATATAAAAACTATATTTTAACTAATTCACGACACTCATCTCTGATATCATATATAGGGAAATGATTTGCATTTACATACATAGTGACCTAATTAAAAATTACTGCAAAATAATTTCAAAAAAGACTTTTTTAATTCCACGTTGACGAACGTCGCTAACAACATTTCTATTTTTTTTTTAATGAAAATGAGATAGAGGTAATATAAGATGTTTCGTTAGTAAAAACTTATTTAAGAGAATTAGATCGCGAATCCCATATCTACTGACCTACTATTAACACGCTTACAAACGACCGGGAATCGATTCGGGAGTAACTCGGAGTCAATCGATAAACACGGGTTCATTGGACGAATCATAAATAGGGCTACCAACTCTTCGGGTTTGCGGAACAAGAGCAGGTTGATTATTGTTTTAGTCTGTCGAGTTTTTAATTTCTCTTAACAATGTTACTTTTTTAATTAGATTTATTCAACAATTTAGATATTGTCTGAAATGAAACTGGACAAAAACCAACGGTATTAAAATAAATCGAAGTCATGGTAAGCAAAATACATACGCAATACAAACGCTTGTTAAAAAAAAAAACGTTAATCACATCCTACGTATTCTCTTTGGAAATAAATGGAAAATTCCACGAAAACGTTTACAAACGTTTATCAACCTCTATCTCATTACAAAGATAAAGTAAATGCTTTGATATAAACTGTACTTAAACCACAAACATTTTAAGCTTCCTAAACCTATTGTCTTAATACTAAAGGGAAAATATTGCATCGATCTGAATAAACGCATAACCTACTGGGTTTCTTTTTGTTTAACAAACTCGAGAAAAACTTACTTTAAACCCTTCCGACTATAACTAACTTAAATAACTAATTTGCTAACTACATAATGAACATTTTATACTATTTAAAATTACAATAGCTACATACAAAAATATACAAAAATAGTTCACAAGGCCTGGCCCTGCGTTACGATCTCCGACCCGTTTAGTCAACGTCGCCGATTGACAAGAATCTTACTTCTTACTAACATAAATGAAAATGTTTAGATGGATGGGTTTGTTAAAGTTTTTCCTCTAAAATGGCTGAAAGGATATCAATGATATTTGGTATATTTGTAGAGCATTATCTGGAAGGACACATAGGCTACTTGATTTGTTTTTTTTTAATTATAGAGCGAAAGTTAGTAATGATATATTTATTTTAGCAATACTACACTCAGGTGGTGTTTGGTGGATGAGAAGTTTACTAATGTGTGTTAACCTTGATACACATTTATCAAAAAATTGTACTCACAACATTTTCGTTTGCAGGTATGTCCACAGATTCTTGTCTACTCTTCAGCACAACACATTGTCGCCGCAGCATGTCAATATCATTGCTTAACACCGCACGATGAATTGGTCTAAAAAAGGACACCATGTTAAAACTTTGTTCTTCAATCAAGTAAGTATTTTTTTTATTTATTAAGTTAATTTAACTATGGCTTATGATAGTCTACATAGAAACAATGAGAGAATTTATGAATCATACTAATATTATAAATGCAAAAGTTTAGATGAGTTGATGGATGGATGTTAGTCTGTAGCCTAAAGGGCTGAACAGAATTTAATGAAATTTGGTATAGATGTCTAGAAGAACACATAGGCTACTCAGTTTTTTTAATGAATGCGGACGGAATCGCGGGCAAAAGCTAGTTTTTAATAAAAATACTTACAAATTGCCATCTTCATCACTCTCTAAACATAATTTCCAGTCAATATATGCTTGATACCACATTACTTTCGAACGTTCACTTGGACTTAAAGTTTTCAATGTGTCGGGTGTTGCGATATGGAAGTGATCTTCAGTTTTGCCGGGAATTAACACTTGGGTACCATCAAGCATATTAAGTGTAGTACCGTGCCTTGCAGATTCTTGAGTATGTTTATCAATATTAACCAATATATCAATAGGATTATCTATTAAGTTTGTTAAGCCGCCCAAACTGTTAATAGATATATTACCACAACTTATATCTGATATATTACTGTCCTCATCTACAAATTGTCTTAATTCTGGGAAACTTGTTGCATTGCCACACACCGTTTTAGACTCGTCACTGATGTCTTTACACACATTATTTGAAGCTTTCTCAACACATGAACTATTATGAGGAAATTTTAAAGCACAATTTGTGTTTTTTTCATTTAAATGTTTATTATCTTTATCATAATTTTCATCTGAGTTATTATAAATCTTTTTGTGCTTGATTTTTCCTTCTATGTCAATTATCCTACTGGTGTCTTTAAAATGTTTCGGGGTTATAACTAGTTTCTTTACCTTGTTCTCTTCTGGTTCTTGGACTACATAAGGTGTTAGATGTGGTCGTCTTATTTTCCTCTTTTGTTTCAGTCTTTGTATAAGATCAAAGCAAGTTTCATCTGTTTGGCATGAAAAGTTAGTTAGCTTTACCTTATTCTCTGGACTTTTAAAATCAGTTTGACAGGAAATATCTATCCTTCTCTTTGAAACTGATAATAAAGCAAGAATTGCCTGTACCCGATACTCCTGGTTGATAACTGAACATAAAGCTGCAAAAAGTGTGTTGTAATTCTTTTGGCCAATCACTTTTGTCAATTCGTCAGATGTTAGTTCAATGATATCAGAGTCCCCACTCCTATACTCCGCAGTTGTGCGACTGTTGTTGCTAAGTACGTTCAACTTATTAACAATCGTCAAATCAGGGTATTCCCCCTTTAAAAAATCTCCCGGCGTTGACGTATAAATAACATCTTCTTTAATAGTGTTCACCCTCTGCATACTTTGAAATAATGGCGTGTCCTTAAATGTATAGTTTCTGTTTAACACGGACATGGTATTCTTTTTTAAGATTAAAGGCGTCTTTCTATCGATATTCATGTTTGGAAATGTCCACTTGTATTAATCACACAACTAACCTTAGCCTAGTTAAATAAAACGTTTAAACTATTTCAGTCCAAACCAGAAGAACTACATGCTAATTAGTTATCAATATAAACATTATACACCTTTTAATAATTAACATGACGTTAGGAAACCACTATAAAACATTAAAATCTTTAATTTAATAGCATAATTCACTTTTTACAATATTTTTGAGGTGAAGTCCCGCATCACCAAAACGATACCAAACTGCCAAACTGAAAAATATAAATATATCTAAACCATAGACGAATGACAGATGTCAGTGGTACCAATCCAACGATATTTTACTTTGAGTAATTTAGGAAAAGGTCTAGGCAAAATGCCGTCGTTTCAATAATAAAAAAATTGCACTTTTACGGGGGTGAGGTAAAGACATTAATATAAATCTCTAATGCACAAACATGCTGACAAGTAAAATTTTAAGGTTTGGTTGAATTTGGACAAAAAAAATCATTTTACTGTTTCTAAATTATGTTACTGTCGTCTAAATAATTGAAAAATAGTTACATACAAAATACTTTAACGTCTTTATTAACGCTCTGATAAAGAATTTACATGTACAAAACAAGTGCTATGGGAGAAATTGTTCTATTTTGTTTGTTCTATTTGGGTAAAAATACGCGATCTTAACAGGTCCTTTTTTTCAAAGTCAAAGTGTAGTACCATAATTATTGATTTCTATAGAGGTGATTTCAGTGATCACATTATCTCTGATCTTTTAGGGTTGCTATTTTAGCACGACTAATAGGGATTATGCGTGTATTTTTTTATTTTTTCAGATCATTCTACTTGTTATAAGATAACCAGAAAAAAATATTGAATCAATTAAATTAAGCCATTTTGCTAAAAAATAAAACTACGATCATTTTCTAAAACGCGACCGGAGTTGGCGTGGTACACATGACGTCAATCGTCTTCGATGTAAAAAACAAGTATTTCATAGTTATCAAAAGTTAAAAATCGATTAATTTTCATTATTCATGAATAAGTTGTAATTAGTGATACTTTTAGTTAATTTTTAATTTTATACTTTAAACCTAGTTTTGATATCATGTTTACATTAAAATATCTCAAGAATGAACTTCTATATAAACTAACGTAAATGAACTGTGTATTGACAACAAAGCGACGTCATAATAGATAAGTCACTTGCTTCAACCAATAGCGTTGCGTTTTAGAACATTGCGTGGGAATTTTAAGACACTTTTACTACTAAAATTCGCTACTAAACCACATTACATTAAAAAAATCTTTACAGGTATGTTTATATAGTAATAAAGTATAATTAAAAAAAATTGGTCCAATTTGGCGCCGTAAGCATATTGCCTGTTACAAAAATTCTCAAGTTCAAAATATGGTGCACTTCTGTTACAATTTAGCTATAGTTAGCTAAAATTTTGCTCTCAAATTTCGTAAGCCATATTACACTTACTTTTATTATAAGATGACACAGAATTCCATGAGGGGATATTCCACCGATCGTATTGTCTCATTAGAAAACAGATCTGGTTTTCGCAAGCTTTATCATATTTGAAATGTAGGTTAACAAATAATAACAACTTTTGAATACAAAATATTTATTCACAAGAGATCAGATATTTTGGGATACATTTTAAAATAATATCAGAAAAAAATGATTGATTTAAAAATTGACAACTATGGTCTAAATAAGAATTTAAAAAGCCTGACCAGGGGGCGCTTCAATCGGCAGCATTATTCCACTACTTCAAATTACCATTTTTCTGCAATATAGCTAGGGGTTTTATGTTCCTGGTCAAGCTATATACAACATAACTTTATGTCAAAGTTAATATTGTAATAAATCTAATTCACATAATTTACATGCAGTCTTTAAACACACACTTATAATAAAGTGGCCAATGTAATTAATAATAAAAAATAGCTATAGTGCTTGCTAGCAATGGTGGCGCCAACACTTGGGAAGATTAACTGAAAAACTGTTCAGTTTTACAAAACATTTTACAAGTTTAATAAACATAATTTTAATTTTTAACACTCTATACCAAAAGGTATGTGACATAATATTTTGTCTTTTACTTATGTACTACCTGTCTTATATTCTAAAATATTATGAGTCTATTAGTCTATGGTTTACATTTTTTTACGATCAAGTTTTACGAATATGAAATTAATGAATAAATAACCATCACTATTAAATTAATAAAATCATGATTTTATTTTAATAAAGAAGTCATATAAGAACACGTACAGTGAAAATATATTTCACCTTATTATTAATTAATATTTGACTTAAAAACCTGATTTTTATAAAACAGTACAATATAAGGCACTTGGTCTCTGAATTTAAAAAAAATAACCCTCAGTGGGCACATAGTTGATATATAAAATTAGCCTTTTTCATCAGTCTACTAAGGAAATTACACACATTACATCAATCTTGAAAATTATATTAAGGTGCTAAATAGGTGGGTTTCCTAACAAAAAAGTATTTACAAGGCAGTGTTGACAGCTAAAATATAATATTATTGAACACAATTTCAATCTTTCCAGTTAAAAGTACAAAAAAGAGCACATTGTTTACAAAGTTGCCAAATTCTTTACTTGCTTTACCATGTTTTAAGGAAAAACTTGTCCAAACCTAATTTACATTCACATAGATTCTTTGAACTTATTAACTATTCTGATTAGTGTGTTTTATCCACATTTTCAATTGTAACAAAAACAGTCTATAATCAATCTAATCTAAATCAGTCAGAAAGGAAAGGCGGGTAGTTGACGTCAAATATCCGAACCCTTAATACTAAAATAATAATAGAAACAAATATTTTTACTTTAATGGGCAATTTCAACAGCTTAAAAAATATGGTTAAAAAGAAACAAGATTTCTAACCCTGTGGGCACTATGATAGCTCACTAGTCCTGTTTTTGACATTTTCCATGTCCATGTAGATTTTACATAATTTCTAACAAAACCAACCAATAAAAACAAACCAGTGCTTCTCTTACTACACTAGACAACCTTTTTTGAGTATACCTCAGTTCATAATCATGAATGTGGTAAATACGAATTATATGTTATCAAGAAAGTTATACGTAAGATATGCATGTAGTCAATCAACCCGCAGTGGGCCAGCTAGACTAAGGCGTACTTACCCCTAACATAAATAGGCTTCAAGACCCTCGGTGGACATGTATATGAACCAAAGATATACAGACTTACAAATAATCACATTATAAAGTTAATGTTAGGAATAAACTGAAAATTAGCAAAATTTGTACTAACATTTGCTTATACTAAGTTTATTCTTAAGTTTAACTTTATACCGCGTTTATTTGTAAGGCCGATAATGTTTTTAAACCAACTCTTGTTAAGTTTTATTATTCATATTTATTACAACACAAATATTCATATACTTTATCTTGATGTAATAAACAAACTTTTTTTATAACATGACAGTTATTATTTGTGATGATTACCATAAACACTTGACACTGGCCCAATCCGCTGAGTGAGAGCCATAAACAAGAAATAGAATAGATGATTACCATTTTAACATGATCACAAAATCTTACTATTACCAAGATAATTCAGTCTTTATTAACACTAAAGTTTTAATCAGTCTAATTCACTATTCAGTCTATCATTGTCATCATCTAGCTGCATACCCTGTTGTTCATTTGTCTCTTTCATTAAATTTAAATTACCATTACATTCCCTAGAATCATTGTCCATTCCATAAACTAAATTATCAATTTCTTCATTAATATTCTTATTTGATAATATCGCGACTTGTGTCATCATTGAGGATAGATTCCTAAAATAGTTCTTCATGTTCAACGTCATTGCTGCCATCATTTGTTTCTCTATACTGGTAACACTTTTGCTATCTAATTCTTGTTGTATTTCATCTCTTTGTAACGTCTGTGGCATCGAATTTAATAAATTTGCTAATATAGGATTTGCTTTTAGAGTATCTTCAGTAGAATTTTCGCCAGAGAAATTATTCCTTATATTATTATCATGATTTTCTTTTTCACTATTTACATTCTCTGTTAAAGTTTTTCTTAAAATATTTGTATTATTTTGATTCTTTGGTACATGTGTGCGTTTATGTAAAAAGAACACATCAGGGTCTTTGAAACATTTTGAACACTCTATACATTTATATGTCTGTTTTATACTGAAATCTTGTATTTCCGATTTATTAGATCCATATGACGTGTTTGAACTCTCATTAATATAGTTTTTAGTAACCAAATCTTCTGGAAGTTCATTGTTTATCTTATTCTTATACAATAAATGTTCAATCTGTGACATAGTTTCATTAAATTGACCTGAACTATTACTTGACATAGATGATGAACTCTCTCTATTGGGTGATCCTTGTTCTGAAAGTATTGATAAAAAAAATTGTCACTAACAAATACCACTATAGAGAAGTGAAAATATTGAGTATTAAGAAATACTGCAGCAAATAGGAAGAGCTTTTTCAGATTTATGTTTTAGAATCAATTTTTTTTAATTTATCTGATGACATAGATCAAGCGGCCATATGAATCATACTAATATTATAAATGCGAAAGTTTATATGGATGGATGTATGCTTGTTAGAGTTTGGAGCCCAAACAGCTGAACAGATTTCGATGAACTTTAGTATGGATGTAAAGGATAGTCTGGAAGAACACATAGGCTACTCACTTTTGTTTTTTTTTTATTTCATGCGAACGGAGTCGCAAAGGCGAAAGCTAGTATGCTATAAAAGTGAAGTAACCTGTACCTCATAGACAGTAGCATTGTCTACCATTAATCAATGGAGGAGGGGACACATAGATAAGGAATATTTCCCTTTCTTATGCCATTCCATCAAACCCTTCCAATCAGGTGGGAAGGAAAAGGAATCTTAAATTAGACCTTAAGACAAAACATGACATTACTTCTACTTCACACTATCTTCTTTGTGGTTGTCGTATTGCACTGAATGAGGCCCCCCATTCAACCATAACATGTTGATGGCATCTAACACTATTGTGTTATTTTTATAAAACAATAATAATTAAGTACACAGATTATCTGCATATTTAATAGTCAAATTAAAAAGGTACGCCAGATTAACTTCTAGAAAGCTGAAATTATATTATACTAACCATTGCACATCGAAGTCATGCTCATTTCCCCAACTTTAGTAGCATTTACAGCCAGCATTGTCTGCATATAAATGGCTTGAGCTACTTGCTGCAGCTAAAAAATAAATTATAAAAAAATAATACATTTATCAGTCAAGATTGAGTTACTCATTAAAAAATTGCAAATTTTGTTTGGTCCAAGATGAAATTATTAAGTCCCAATGTTTATAGAAAATAGAAAACATTATAGAACTATAAATAATTATTTTATTATACATATTAACCTGAGTATCCATAATACCAGTTGGGAGATTCAATCCTCTATTTCTATTCTTAATGCTATGTACAGGTGAATCAGATGGCAGATTCTGTGATGGGACTGCATCTTTTCGTAAAGTTCTCCATTGACCTATAATTTAAGACAAGGTAAATTTTAATATTTAAGCAACTAAGGTAACACTTAATAATCTCGATGTAGTTTCACACTTTTTTATGTTTTTCTTATAGGTTACTTCTTAAAAGTAATAACGTTTTAATAGTATCAATAACAGTTTTTATTTTTACCTTTGTTTTTGCCGAGGCCTGTTATTGTGTAATCATCTGGTTTGAAATGTAGACTACATACTTTAGAATATTTTGTATAAGGTTTTCCTCTTTTCAAAATTTCATTCCAAAGTTTTGCGAGTTCTTTGTCCTTTGGAAATTGATGAAAAGATACATCTTTCACTTTTCCGGCCATAGATGTGCAACGAGGAACAGTGCAGTAATAAGGCATTTTGAATTTTAGATTATCAATGTAATTTTTTAACCATTATTCGATTAAAATCAATATTTATTTATTATCATAAACAAACAGAAAATTAAGGGAAACAACAAAACAAACTATCGCTAAAGTTTCAACAGATGCCTGAAAGACAGATCAAAGACAGATGCCAAAATTGTATTTTGGCCAGCTGCCAAACTGTCAAACTATTGACAAAGTGACAGAGTGTTTGAACGTGAACAGATAAAATAAATTATTTAATTATAAATAATAGATAAAGATAAAATATTGCCACAATCAACTTTTAAACCAAGTATAGTTGTACAAAAATATTAAATATTGTTAAACTTCAATTAATTTACATCTCTTTGGCCCTACTATTTTTACCTTAATAAAAACTTGTATTGAAATACAATGTGCTGTGATGGAGAAAATTTTATAAAAGGGACAGGAATCGTAACTCCTATAATGAAACATAGATAATTATATGTTTAGTCCAATGAGAGGAACCGCTATCGGTTATTTCTAATTTCAGTAAATATGTAAAGGTTCTGTATGCCATAGAAAATAGCATAAAAGCAAAAATGACTTCAGCAAATAGTTTCAGCATAATGCCTGTTTTATATTTGGCGAGTACAGTTAGATAGTAGCGTGGTCCTCGCTGGTCCTGGCAAGGATTGTATGAACTCACTGGCGTTATTGTTTACATTATGCCAGTTATGTGCCAACGCTGATTTTGACAATGAAAACCAGGCACACATATTTAATCTGTTTTTTTGCCTAATGTCTATGGTTTATTTATGGTCAAAAGTAGCCATTTTACAAAAAAGTGGGGAAGGTAAAAAAGGTGAATACATGTCAAATATTTCAAGGCTGCAGTGTGATGATTCCGATTTTAATAAAAGTGATAACGATCTCAACAAATAACCCTTTAAACTATTCTCTAAATTTATATAATTTGATGCCTTACTAATGTTATGAAGTTCGTATACAAGCGGGAATCGGCATCCCTACAAAAACTTGACTTTTAACAACAAAGGTTGCAGTGAATTTGCAATGGGTTATTATTGTACTGTACCACAGTGTACATCACTTGCCGGCAAGACCAAAAATGTTAAATTCCATCGATTTCCACGCGACGAAACCATGGCTGAGAAGTGGAACATTATTCTGAAACGCGGCAAACCATTTACAAAATACTCCAAAGTGTGCAGCCTCCACTTTACTCAGGCCGACTATAACGTCACTACAATGGGTAAGAATAAAGGTATTTGGGTTTTTCCAAGGCTGGTTACTATATTGTACTGTTACCGAAAGAATTTCAAATTAGTCACCTCCAGACATCGAATATTTTCTTTGGCAAATTAAATTGCCGGATCACACCCCGGATGTGAATTTGTTATAGATTAAAATAGGTTTTTCTATATTCAGCAATATTGCTATGATATATTCTTATTAGAATCTTATAAGACATGACCTGCTTGGTGTTGCTGTATTGTTTACAAACATTGTGTTTGCTTAGCCTTAACTTGCAGTTAAGGTGGGTTAAAGAGAGTTACTGTCTGTTTACTCATTATGTTTTGATGACAGATTAAATTAAATTTCACTGCTATCAAATGTAATAGGCAGTCTTCACTGTATTGTTCTTTATATATTTATAATATATTTTAACTATTATGTTATTGAATTAATCCTCTAGTGTGGTTTTCATTATCTGCCTACATTTGTGTTTAGATATTAACTTGATGTTTGTTTTTAAATATTGCTTTCCGAGCATAGTTGGTTCACAACATGATTAATATACCTTTAACAGTGTAGTATTTAAGTGTATTCCTAATCTATTAATTTCACACATCTTTTCATCTTTTCACATTTTAAAATACCAGAATCATTTATTAAAGTGACAAAATGCCTATGAGCTTGTCAATACAGGTTTTTACCACCATTGTGACCAAAATTGCTTTATCTTTTAATACCAGCATTTTATGCTGTGCATGCTTGTGGCACAGATTATTTTTCTATGAAAAACACTTATCTGTTGTGAAGGTCAATAATAATGACAATTTAAAAAAAAAGATCAGCCACAGACTTAATTTATAAATTAGAAATGGAATGATGATTTGCAAAGTATTTAATGCTTTAATCTCAGTATCTATTTGTGATAAATATTCACTGAATGGAAAATAATTAAACCTGTAAACGATAATTTAAATATACAATTATATGTTTCCAAGACCCTGCTCATATTTAGAAATATGTTATATGTCCTATAAATTTTCCAATTACTCTAAAACCTCTTTTTCATAAGTGAATTTTGACTTTGCTTTGATTCAGATTAAGATATAAAATTTTTCTAATAAGTAATTATTTTTTGTAGAATTTATAAATAATGATTAAGTTACTCTATGTGTATTTATATTTATATTGTGAAGAATCGCTCAGATTTAGGGACTCAAAAATATTTTATTTTCTTCTGTTATCCATGTATGCAACTCTGGGTAGATGTTAGTCATGCATTTATTTTTATCTGCAATGATGAAGCCTGGTTTTCCATTTTGCGTATTTTTTAAGTGAGTTTCCGCGTGAGGCATGACTGAATTTGCATATTATGGTTGTCAACCAGCGCCAAACTGCACTGGTCTCACCTTAGATTAATATCAGCAATCAATATTTTGATAAGCTGCATTTGGAGACTCTTAGCAAGTACTTACTTTTAGATGCTATGCTGAGCAGTCTGTATCTTAAACACAAAATTAAATTGGAAACCGCATTTAATATGTGTTTATCAAAATATCTTATCTTTTTACTAATGCAAAAGTTCAGATAGTTGGATCATTATTAACATATATCTCCAGAACAGCTTAACGTATCCTGTTGAAATTTGGTGTGGATATAGAAATTATAAGCTACTAATAAGGTTTTGTTTTTAATTTCGACCGAAAGGCATAGCAGGCGATAGCTTGTGTTCCATAAATATAAAAATTGTAAGATGTAATGTTTCGTTAGCAATCACATTCGCCCGTTTTTATTTCATTTTTTTATCTCATGTTATTGATTCTATCAATCTGTAAGTGCATATAAGGAAAACTTTTTAAGTAATTCATATTCTGACATAATCAACTCTGTAATTAGCATCCTCGTCGTCACGCTACACTCGTATTTGTAGAGAAAAAATAGCTCACAGTTTACCTTGTACCTTATTAAAAGGAAGAAAGAAAAAATATTTACATATCCTATGGTTATGTATGTGTTAGGCACGGTACAAATATTTTTTTTTTATATTACTATGTGGGAAATGAGCAAGCTGACCGCTTACTCGTTTGCCACCTAATGATGTAGCCGCCGTGAATACGGCAAAATGACGAAGTGACCGCTTTCCATAGACATTCGAAATAGCGGATGCGTTGCCTATCCTTAATCGACGTAGGAGGAGACGAGCACGTGAAGAGGAAATTCTCCTTTCCAATGCGTCTCCTCCACCGTCAAATCTTTTTTATAATAAAACGGGTGAGAAGGAATAGGGACTAAAATTGGGCCTCTGGACTAAAATTATGTAGAAATATGTAACATGAAAATGGGATCTTCATTTCGTAGAACTCTTTATAATTGAATCATACTTTTTAAAACGTAAAAATCGTTATATAGAGGATCACCATTACTAGCATCTTTTACAATCAAAAATGTGTCGCACATATCTATAGATACCAGGTGTCTATGATTAATTTTTTAACAAAAAAATCAGAAATACTAAAGTACTGATCTATTTAAGATAATTATTGATAAATGATGTTTATTGCAGATATGTTAGGCAGATACGAAAAATAAACCATCCATAGTATATTCATACCAGATTAAGTCAAAATTAAATAATTTATTTCTAGTGTTATCACAAACTTCCTGATGCATTCCATTTTATATCGTAACACAAATGAAGTCATATACAGATATAGAAAATCTAGAGTGCAAATTATCTCATATGTGGGACTTTACATTGTGTTTAGAGTTGATACAATAAAAATTATTTAATAGCAATTACTTTAATGAACCAATTATAGAAATTAATATGCATATGGTCCAGTTTATGATAATTTCTTGTGAGAATTTTTAATAATTTTAGTAAACTTTTGTAAACACCTTTCTCTTAGAAACAGATATGTCATGTTTCAAAAACATATCCTTTCTTTGTAGGGTTTTTCTTAAATTATCTCATTAATTCCATAGTTTCCTATATCACATGGTCATAAGGATATTTCATTAATTATTATTTGTTGCATTATTCCAGGACAATGGAAGACATTAAGCAAAGACGCGATGCCAACACAGAATCTTCCCAAGTTGAACCCGGACGGCTCAGTAATGGTCATTCGCAAAAGTCGCACTGTTAAATACAAGGAGAGTAGGAAAGACTCTATCAGGTAATTCGAAATCGACTAGTGGTCGTCCATTTTCGAAATTCAACTAATTGTTTAACCATTTTTTTTTAATTAACAACAAATTGTAGCCAAATTCACGTTGATATGTTTGAACAGTTCACTTAAAAAAATAACGAAGAATTCAGTTCACATATTAACATTTTTTAATCTTCAAACTTCAAAATGGAGGAGGTTCTGAATTAAATTATTTTTATGTATTTTACACAGATTACATTAAGATTTTTATATTCATTTGTTTTACACTAAATCGGTATTTAATCATCTGAATAAAAATATTACAATTTATGCTTTATTTTTTTTTAAGGAATGGAGAGGTTTGACAAGATGATAATATTTAAAAACTTGATTGTCAATGTTGATTCAAATGTATTTTTTTTAGTGTTAAACCAGAAAAATGGTGCTTAAATAGTCCGTCAACAATGCCAATCAATACTCCAGAGAGAAATCTATTGAATGAAAGTTCAGATAATGTAAGTATTTAACTTATTTATGTACATTTTGTTGTATTAGCTTACAATACTAACATGTGTGGAATTAAAAAAAAAAGGAGCATATATGTTCTTCCAGACTATCATCTACATCTACGCAAAATTTCATCGAAACCCGTTCAGCCGTTTAGACTACGGACTATAACAAACATCTATTCATCCATCTAATTTTCGCATTTATAATATTAGTATATTAGTATTATTATTAACGTTGCTTACTCCCCTTAGACCTATCCTAAATTATCAGCTTGTAATGCCTACAAACAAAAATAGTAGGAAACCTGTAATTTTAAATAAATATTTTGATGTTTTATTCATTACGTAATTTATTTTATGATTACATTATTATTTCGTGTGGTTAATTTAACATTATATTTAATTAGGAATTCCCAACTGATAGTACATCATGTAATGTAAAATCCCAATACATAAAAACAAACACTGCATTTATATAATTATATCCGAATTTAATGTGAATCATATTTACAGTAGAACCTTGATAACTCAAACCTCGGTAACTTAAAAAGCTCTATAACTTCAAAAATAATGTTCCCTTCTCATCAGAGCCCAAAACCTCAATAACATAGACCCTTGATAACTTAAAACCTCTATAACTTAAAATGTTTTGTGTTTCCATCGGACTTTAACTTATCGAGGTTCTGCTGTATATTAAAAGACTTAGATAATGATATAAAGATTGCAATGTTGTAAATAATAATAATAAAACTATGGAATCTCGCAATCCATTAGCAATGTATCAAAAGAAACTCACAAATTACAATGTCTCTAAACGACTATATTAATTTAATCTAGAAATAATTTCTTAACTCTTTTTACTAACCAACTGTATTGCCGTCTAGTCAGGAAATAAAGCGTTTCCTCTTTAAATCACCAGTCTTTACTAATATTATAAAAAGAAGGGATTTATGTTTTTGTATGTATAGAAATAACTCAAAATCTGGACCGATTTCAAAAATTTGTTCACCATTAAAAACCTACGTTATCGCAAAGTAGCATAGACAATAGTATATTTTGTAATTTCACACAGACAAAGTCGTGAGAGTCTCAGTAAATTTTATTTAATTAAATTACAGCTCGCGTATCGTTTCCAAGCTCTCAACGCGATCGCCAATCACATTTCACCGCTGCAGCAACCCGTCGACAATTCGGAACAAAAAACCTGTCTACCCGTCAGACCGAAGAAGCAAGACGCGTACATGCAGACGGACCCCATTCTGTCAGAAGAAGATGACACACAGCCGAACAATAGTTACAGCGAGTCATCAGAAAAGTCATTGGAGTCAGACCAACTTGACACATATCCAAGCCAGTTGACTTTCCAAAGGGAAACTGATAACTACGAAGAGGATATCAAAAAGTTCGACCTGCCAGAAGATTATACAAAAACAAATGAAGACTTCATACCACAGACTAACGAAGAATACAATAAAGAAGCGGAAAAATACGCATTGGAACGTAAATCTTTAAATGGCTACGAAAATACCCAAGTGGATGCGATGTACCAAAAGCAAGTGATTGAAAACGGGTTCGAGAAGATGCCGGAAATGTACGCGTATGAAGACAAACAGGAATATACGAACCGCAACGATAATTATATTGCGTATACGAACGGATATTCGAACAGCGCAGAGGTGTTAAGGAATCAGCAGCACAATCTGCAGCTGCTGCAGGAGCCGCATAGGATTACAGAGAATCAGAACTTCTTTAACGAAAACCATATAAAGCAAGAGATAGACTTTGGTAATGATGATGACAAGTACTTATATGAGCGTACAAAGGATCCGATAGGTAATTTTTTTTCATTAATTCGAAAGCACACGAGGTCTTTCAGCCTTTGTAAATATATAGTTTTAAATTAACCAAGTTTTATTTGATTAAAATCTACTATTGTAATTTTTTACAGAACAAAACACCCTGTATAATGAAAATCAAAGGCAAATAGAGCAGCAGAGACTGTTGGAACAGTTACAACAGCAAGTTAAACAGGAGCAGCCAGAAGGAAATAATGGTAAAATTAGTATTTTCCTATGTCTATTATAGAAATTCTATTTAGATTTTTCGAAGTAACGTACTTGTTGCTTATATATTCGAACAATGATACACAAATCTGATCCGAAAAGTGTGTCTAAAACCTGTGGAAGAAAATTGTTTTCTCTGTTCTTACAAAAAGAGTGAGGGAGATAGAAATATAGTGAGTAATACTGCTATCTCCCTCTACATTTGAGCATTTTTGTCATTATTACCTTTGCATTTTCAGCATGTGAAAATGTAATGCAGCCTCAAAGCAGTCCGTATTATCAAGCTAATGCTAATAATACATCAGGTGAGAGCAATCTACTAATATTATATAAAAAAAAATATTTGTATGTTTGTCTATTCAAAGAGGAAAGATTTGTGTTTTTATATGTATTGAAATAATTCAAAAACTACTGGGTCGATTTTAAAAAATCTTTTATCATTATGCTATCGCTGAGTAGCATAGGCTATATTTTTTACAATTTAGTTTCGCGTGGACAAATACGCGAGCAAAAGTTAGTAACAAATAAACTGAAAAGCTATTAAAAATGTCTCATTTTTAGATACATTAACCGTTTGTAACAGACTATAGTTAATTATTGATGTTTTTTGTGTAGGTTCAGGTTACTTCGAGCAGGCATCAAGACCAGGCCCCGAGCTGTTAATAGCGAAACAGAACGCGTTAGCAGCACACACGCAGTTATGTAAGTAAATTATACTTATTTAGTTCCTCTGGTGTTGCGGATGTCCATGGGCGTCGTTGACCACCTTTGTGTTCCCGCCGCTCGTTTGCCCCCCCTTCTCATATGAAAAAAAAATAATTTACTTTATACTAATATTATAAATATGAAAGTATAGGATTCGTCTTCGATGTAGAACATAGAAAGAAGACAAAGACTATTGGTTATTTTTTATTTGTACGGACAAGGTCTTTTAACATTTCGTAAGCAAAATTTTAATAAACTATTTGTAATGGTAATGAGAGTAAGCAATTCAATGATTTTGATCAAATTTAAAAACACTACAAACTAAATACTTTAAATTCAGAGCAAAACCAATGTGGTTATATAAATGTTAATTTATGTATGTTTCAGGGCAAAACACTATGAAGAGACCATTTTTCTACAGCGAAACTTTGCCATACACAAATCCTCAAGTACTCCATAGATATGAGGTATTGTAAACATTTTTTTCTATCATACTAATATATTATAAATGCGAAAGTTTAGATGGATGGATGGATGTTTGTTAGAGTTTGTAGAGTAAACTGTTGAACGGATTTCAATAAAATTTTGTATAGATGTAGGGGATAGTCTGGAAGAACACATAGGTTGCTTCCTTTTTTTTAAATGCGGACGGAGTCGCGGGCGTAAGCTATTACTTCTATACATTAGTACACATATCGTTGTCTCTGTTCTTTTAATGAATATGTTAGGGATGACATGTTTCAGTAATAAGATTTTATTGAGTTATTTTGTATATGTTTGTTTTTTTATTACAGGATTTAACGAGGATTCTTCAATGAGTTAAGAGACATTCCGAAGTTTCAAAATTAATACTGTAAAAAAAAAGTTTTATTTTCTATACGACGATAATCTCTCGAAGGTAAATTTTATTATTATTACATATAAAATCTCTTATAGATTTCTATATTTGATATTCTTTTGTACTGAAAAATGAGAATGCTCTTTCGGAAAGTGGTTTTAATTTAAATTGTATTTGAAATGTATGTATTATAAAATTGTACAAATTTAAACGAAAGATACCATTTCTTGCTAAGCTTAATTATATTGTGTCATAATTTTAATTGTCAAATTAAGAATTGATTTATGAAAGCCATACATTACAATTTTACTATACCATAGACTAAATACTTGTTAATGAATCCCTTCAGTATCTTTTTTAACACGATGATTTTATCCTTTTTTTCTGTCCATCTTATATTTGCGACCTAAAGGATGGGAAAACATTTACAGTATTTGTTGATTTAAAAAAATAACATTAACAATTTTGACAGGCGACACTTGACAGATGACAGTTGTCAATGTATGTGGATAAAGTGGAAATATTATTTTAGTCTATGCTCGAAAATATGAAGACACGTGACTTAATAAATTGTAATGTATGGCTGGATCTTCTTATTTTATACATTTGATTTTAAGATGAGCAAATGTGTCATTAAAATTTTATTTTATAGTCTGTGCAACATTTTGTGTTCAAAAATTATTTTTAGCTATGTTTTTATTGTAGATAGTTTATTTTTTTTATATTATATTAGATATTTATACTAAAACGAAATAGAATGAAATCCAATTTAGTTGCCTTTTAATTTTAATGCAATAAATAGAAATTGAGTCAATTTGATGTCAGATTTGTCTTGTTAATACTTTGTGTAAATCGAAAAATAGAAATTAAAAAAAAAATGTTTTTCTATACCCATGCGACGGTGCCAAATTAATTTATCTAATAGGTTTCGTGTAAGCTTTTATACATGAAATTATGTATTTCAAAATATCCCAAAAGATGCACAGACTATAAAAGCTGTATAATGTTGCCATTAGTTTTATATTTTTAGATTTTTTATAGAGTATTGTTTCGATTGTTTCATATTTTTTTGTTTCTGCACATAATTGAGAAAACTGTTAAGTATTTTATTTGTTTTTCTTTTTATTATATGTACATTTAAAACATAGTTACCATTTAGTAATTTTGATATATTTGTATTGTTTTATATTTACAGTTTTTTTTCCTATTTTGACGTAGAATTTCTATGTATAAATTATCTATTTTTTTTATTCTTGTCATGCGAAAATCTACTCGTTCAATACTCGACGTCGTCAAAATGAACATTGACATTTAAAAAGTTATAATTTTTATTGCACGTTGTTTTCGTAAAATTTTATATTGTTTAGTTTTTATATTTTACTAAAACATTTAAGCCCATGACTTCTTAAGTCGATTTTAGGCAGGTTATATTTATGTTGAATGGTGTAAACCACTCAGTAAATATTTAAGGGAAATCAATAAGTTGCATATTATAAACGATTTATGTTTTCTACATAGGTAACATGTTGAATGTGAAGTTAGAATTTAAATTGCTTTTTTAATCATGGTTTTTAATTGAGTCTAGGAAAAAAATCATGTTAACCTTTGCTTTGTACCATAGACATTTGACAGATGTCAAATTGAAAAAAATATGGCGGGAAGGTAAATTAACGACGGTGTTGCGATGCAATTTACTAAACAATTGAGGAAGTGATATTTTATCGAATTTACGTGGCAATTGTAATATTGACGAGTAAATATTAGCAAATAAGGGAAGTTTCCGTTTCGTTACAATTTTTTTTTCGTTAACTTAAAAAGTTGGTCTTGCCAAAGTTTTGACGTTTTGTTATCTTTAAATTCTAAAAGTTGCCTCAAAGTCTGTATTCTGGTAAATTAAAATAGGATAACGATCCTTAAGGTAAGAAAAAGACTTTGATGTTTATGTTAGTTTTTTTTTGGTGCTCGTTGTATTATGTATTTCTTCCGAATTCTCTTGCATTTTGTCTAGTTAGTTTTTTTAAAGATGTGTAAATGTTGAGTACAATGTTTTTAAAATCGTAGTACGCACATATTGTAGACGGAACGCTAGAGGTTTTTTTAAAGTTTTTTTTTCTAGTTTACAAACATTTTATTTACCATAGATTATAAGATATTAATAAGATTGTGGGATGGTAAGACATTGAATAAGGCGAGAGCGTATTTTGAACTGTTTTTTACAACATGCGAGTATTTTAAAAGGTTTTCTTGATTATTTTCTACGGTTTACGTTTATTCTCGATATGAAGTTGTAATTAAAATATTAAAAATCAGAGATATTTTAATATGTGAGAGAAATAAAAATGTTTATATATATTATAATTTGTACGCTCTAAACAGACCAAAGCTGTGAGTTAATGTAAAGATCATTGAATAAGGAATAATTAATAATAATACTAATGCACACATTGAATTCAATCCAACATTAGGTCTCCACTGTTGCAAAACATGTATAACATAACTGTCTCACATCCTCTTTGAATAAAACAAGTCTCATTATAATGTAGATTGAAGTCAAGTAATGTATAATTTTAAAGAATTATAGCCCAGTGTAGTTTTAATGAGAAATTTATACTTGTTTATAAAATCGTCATTTAAAACCTGTTTTGAAATAGTGAATACTGTTTTAAAACATGTTTCTAGGTAGAAACTTAACATATTGGTATTTACTGTTTTCGGTTATGGCATTGACAACCGAATTTTCTGACTAAACGCTACATATGTCGCTAGACCCCTTCAAGCTTCCTTCCAATAAAAGTTTTATAAAAACTGCACCAGCAGTTTTGAATTACCTAAAACAAATGCGGATAGACAGAAAGTAAAAACAAAAAAAAAAACATTTTTATATGCAAACTGATTTATTTGCTCACGATAAAATCGGCGCAGGAACTTTGTACAATGTTAATATGAATAATTTTATTAAATAATTCGGAAACATTTTACCTATAATTACACTGAATAAGGGATTGGATGAAAGTTGTACAAAACGCTGTAAATGATGACGTCATCCATGTATGAAGGTTAATTGAATGTGTGCATTGGATCTTACGCGATTTTTATATGAAAATTTTAAATTTAAATAAAGTAGGAATTAATTTGAGACTGTCACCGTATTAATATGGAAGGAAAATTAAAAAAAAATGACATATAACTGTTTGTTGTTAAGTCTCTTGGTTTGATTCTGAAATTAAAACTTGGGTAATTAATTTAAAAAGAAAATTGAATGTAGGAAATTAATTGTTTTATAAAATTACAAAAGTAAGAATGGAATATTTCAATTTCTTCTTCATTTAAGTACAAATTATAATTATCAAAACCACATCCATACAATTGAAAGTACAATTTTTAACACTAAATGTGACAGCGGTATTACTTAAATTAGTGATGTTTATAATTTTCATATAAAAAACGTGCTTAGTATTTAAGAAGAATGAAGATGTTATTTGCTACATACAACATTTTTGTTTATATATTTTTTACAGCTGTGGCCATTTTCAAATAAAATAAGTGAAAAAATCTTATAATTCTTTTAATTAAATCCTTGTATTCCATACTTATTCGAGCAGGGTGAATCGGCACTTATTGAGCTAGTGCGCTTTATCCTTCGGCCGCGTCTTCACTTAGCGTAGGTGGAGTCGTGATCAAGCGTTGGTTTATTTATATGGAAAAAAAAACTTCTAGATGTGGTGAAAGTTATGTCACCGATCTATCTCGAATCCCGCCTGTTTGTAAAATGTCCATGTAAATTGCATATCAAGACAACAAAATGACGTTTTATATTTTGATAATTGTTATTTTCTGTGCAAACAAACGGAGCCTCGAACTGACGAGAATAAATGACAGTGCAACTGCAATTGCCACCCTAACTTTTCTAGATATAATATCATTTGCGAGAAAAAAATTCTTAGAAAATTACAAACATATGTTTGTAATAATTGTATAAGACTCCGTTGGTATAAAAAAGAAATTCATAGACAAGATAGTAAACTTTATACAAATAGATATAAAGGTACAATCAGCTTCAAAGGCCTTAAATGTCGTTAGTAAATAGAACCACTTTCAATAACATAAAATTTAATTAAAATCATATCAAAATAAAGCGATTGTTTTCTACAAAAACAATATTAGATGGTAAATATCACTCGTTTTCTGGTTTCAAAAATGCAATCCTTGATACACCACTCGTAAAAATTAACACATATAAATACGCTTGGAATGTAATTAATGCATTCAAAGATGTGACAAAGCTACGGAACAAATTAAATAAAACATCGTCGAAGTTTATGTGTATTCAGAATATTTAATACAATTGGATATTCAGTGATCAACTTGCGTGGAGCCATAGGTCAGGGAATCGTCGCGACAATGACCGCATAATATTAACGGAATTTTCACTTATAACAAATAACGGTACTAGAGTTTAACGAGGTTTAATGAATTTAAAAATCAAAGATGGCAAAAGTGTAGTTACCACGAGTTTAGTTTCTACTACAATCTGGGAAAAACTACTCTTGCGAAAAAAACAGTCCTGAAAACTCGGAAAGGGAATAATAAAAATAGTTGAAATAACTAGCACTTCACTTACATATACTACTAGCTCTATTTTTTTAAAAGAAAAGAAGGGGGACAGAAATATTGTAGTAGAGTGTTCTTTGATAGTGGATATAAACCGCAAAATATCTATGCCTTGGCCTTCTTTTTTTTTTACAAAAATAGTACATTTTTATTAATTTAATAATACTTTTTTAACCATTCCAACTAAGCTCTAGGCTTGTGCTAGGATATGGTTCGCGAGCATATTCGAATGGCGGTATTCGAACCCTCGACCGCAAGATCGGTAGTCCTTACCCCAAACCACTAGGATATTGGCTCTAATATAACAGGAAACATTGCTTTTATTCCCTCAAATTTGGGTTTACAAGTATAGTTTTCAAAAAAATTGTTGGCCCAGAGTCATAGGCGCTCTGGGCAGTGTCTTTTCCCCACAACGTCCTAAAACCAAAATTGTGTTCTGTGCCTCGACTCGCGCGAAGTTAAAACCCGCCAAGATACAAAACTGCTGCTAGAAATATGAAATCATTATAAAATATTGAACACTTGAAAATCAACAATCAAGACAACAACAAGACGTTGCAATAGAAAAAGAACATTTTATTCATTTATCGATTATTATAATTCGACAGTTTTATTTGGTGTAAGCAAAAATGTTCGTTACAATCGCAAGATGATGCTAAATCGGCGAGAAGTAGCAAAGAACTTATTGGAATTATTAAATAAGCAGAAATAATGTCGATGCAAGATTATCTTTGGCCTAAAAAAAATAAATCGATGCGCGCATATTACATTGTAGTTAATGTTGTGTTTTATTTTTATGCAAATGATACTGTTATTCGTTTAATTTTCCGATAATAATATGAGTAGTGTTGAACTGGCTGTCTACAATGTGGCATGATACCTTATGTAACAACGCAGCTATGACATCTTTAAAACGACTTTTTATTAATAAAGAATACACGTAAATCTATATTCTATTTAAATCAAGCATAGTTTTAATAACATTAATAAACAAATGCTTCTAATTCAATGATATTTACTTAAATAAATTATTCCAAATTATTATTTAGCCATTTACCCAAGAACGTATCTACATTTATTCAAACATTTTTATTATTTAAAAGTTTTGTCAGAATGAGAATTTTTATTTTGTGTTTAGATTTTGGCGCACAAAACTTTGGCGTTATAAGAACACCCTACATAATTTTATCATAGTTATCTAGTTATTTAAGACAGCAAAGATAAACATTCAATATTTTTATTTGTATGTTCGTACAGGTGTTGTAGTGAACTCTACTTGTCAGGACGTATAAGAAATATTTGGTCCGTGTGACATATACAACAGTTTACCATGAATTTTCCCTGCAAAAACATCCACGTGAAAATATGTTCTTATTCCAGCTTTTTCATAGAAAACAAGAGAAATTAGGATATGTTTATATCAATAAAGAAAACGCAGCACATGTTATATTTATTTGATCTTAAAATCACGAGCGTACGTGTGTCAACTTCCTGAATACGTCGTGTCGAGGCCAAACCCTCGGTCAGCAAATTGAACGAACAGCGATTCCGCCACTGTGGAAAATACTTTTTATAACTCTAGCTTAGAACAAGTTTCAGTCTAAAATTGCTTGAATCTACATTCTTAATATTTGTTGATATACTTTGCATAAAGTAATAATTAGCATATATTGTTTTTCTCTTAATTTATTTCAATATCATGTTTCAATGCCTCGCGGTTCTCGTGGGTACTGGTTTTTAATCTATGCAATTAATTCATTTAATATTCTTATCAGTATGTTTGTTGCAGATTTGTCAAAGAACAAAAAAGCACGGTAGCTATCGATGCACTATATGCAATTGTCATCCCACTTATTCTCTCTGAAAAAACTGAGACAACGATACGTTAAGGCAAGTGACATTATAGTGGAATTTTACGAAACATACGACGCAAAAGTTCTGCGGCAGAACATCTATACTTCTATACTTATAATTATTTACTTATCTATACTATTATAATAAAGCGTAAACACACTACTTCGTGGCGTAGGATGTCAGCAAACACGATTTTTTTTAATAAAAAGCCCTAAACTTACGACACGCTTTAGACTATATATCTTCAGGTTATTAAACTTAGGGGTAAATGAAATAGAAAATAACATAATGTGGAAAAGGGACTATGGTCCCTATACAGTTTATGAACTACAAGCTGCCAACATTTAGAAAGCAAGGTTATTATGGTAACGGTAATTTTGACATTTGCAATTAAGAATTTGACAAATGTAAACAATAAAATAAAGTTTTTACAATTCCATGCGGATGAAGCCGCACGAGAACAGCTAGTAGGTAAAGGGAATAATAAAGTTCTACGTAATAATTTTATTAGGTATTTGAAAATAGCAAACATTATTTTGGTCTAGTCTAGTAAGATATAGATGTATTGCATCGAAGGTGGCATATAATTAAGAAGGGAGTGAGCTGGAAGAAGATAACATAATGCGTCGATCTTGTGAGAGAGATAAGGATAGAGAGATCATCTCCCAGACCATATCATCACATTGTCTCGTAGCAAATACAATTGTGAAGAAAAAAATCATTTACCTAATTAAATTTTCAGCAACTGTACAGGTGCAGTTAGAAACCGTTCCCTTCCCCTGACAATTATAAATATAGAGAATGGAATAACAAAAAAAAACTTATTTTTGAAGAATACGAATTAAATAATTTCATAGTAAGGAAAATTTAAGGCTTGTCCATTTAGATAATGTTAGCCAAGGAATTTTATTATCTCCGTAACTATAAAAATTGTCCGGATTCTAAGATTCCCTTTGCATAACATGTTATTTCGTTTTAATGAAATTATTATGTATCTATAGATATGTGCGCGTAAAACTATTTGAATATTTTAATACATTTATATTTTAACGTCACAAATTACATTATTTAATGTAAATTAAATCACGTATTTTATACAATAGTAATTCAGGAGAATGGCAGATTTGTATTGCGTGTATTTATCGCTCTCTTTTGCTCTACCTACGTTGTAGATCTTTTGTCTTTTTCATGTAACGAAATTTATTTGAACCTGACAATCATTCTCGAAGTGTGCGTCAATCCTCATACCACAAATGTCATATTGCTATTTTTGAATTCCTACTAGTTTAGCTTTAATTTGTTACATATAGTTTAATTAAATGTTGTGTATTTCGCCTTCCACAATTTAAAGCCCCTTTTGGGATACATTTTTAAAATAGATTTTGCTTCCATAACAACGTATTCTGCATCTGTAAGCATCTCTAAAATACTTAGTTAAGATAACCGCTGATGTAAATGGTAATTAGTACTTAGTTAATTTAGACATCATCAATAAGTGATTGGTGATGTCGAGGGTCGATCCCAGCCATGTTTTCGAATTTCATACGTTCATTTATTCGATGTTTTTATGGTATACTAGCTGTTTCCGTGCGGCTTCATCCGCATGGAATTTTATTTCATTTTTTACATTTGTCAAATTATCAATAGCAAATGTCAATATGACATGACATGACAAACCTTGGTAATCTTGTTTCCTTGATGTTGGCAGTAACTTATGGTCTCTTTCCCACATTAGGGGTTTTATCCAAAATATTTACCCCCTAAGTTTAATAGCGTGAAAATATATAGCCTAAAGCGTGACGTAAGTGTAGGGCTATGAATTAATAAAAGAATTATTCAAAAATATGCTGTAATTGCTGACATGTTAGGCAACAAAGAAGTGTGTGTTTACGCTTTATTATAATAGTATAGAGTATAGATAGATAAATGAGTGATGCAAATATGAAGTCAACCAACCCGCACTAGACTATCGTGGTTGACTATGGTCTGGTCACCCTTAACTTCAGTTCACATATAATGAGTTAACGTCATTATTTACTCAACAAATACAAGACATATAAATTCCAATAATGTTCTAATGAAACTGTTGTATGTTGAATAATGATATGGAATTATGGTTGATAGAAATGACGAAATTAAAAAGTTTGCCCTTTGTATAGTAAACCTTTGACTTGTATTGTACGCTACTTGGTATATTGTTCTCTACCTTGCATCGAGTTGCTTTATAATTTTTCTGTAGACAGTCAACGTTCAGTCGTGGGAAGAAACAGTCGCCTGTTATATGTGCATACAATTGCTTATAATCAGTGTTTAAAATAAATAGTAATAACAGAAAAGGTAAGTAAAATGTTTATTAAATTTTCAAGTAAAATAAATTACTCGATGGAAATTTTATGAAAGGGTAAAGGTAAAATTCTTCCTAAGTATTAAGTTTGAGCAATAATGCGAATATAACTTATTACCATTTTTAGAATTCTAATTTAAACCGGACGTTCACTTCACTTCCGTTGCAAGGGATGCAAAATAAAACTAGAAAAAAGGCTGAATTTAACGACGGAAACTAACAAGATACCATTAAAATGTTTTTTTTTACTCTTTTGCTATATTAAAAGTGTGTTATCAACTTTTCGATTTTATTGTCATTATTCATACTGCGGTTACATTTTAAACTTAACAGCCAGAATATAGGGTTGGGTTTTAATAAATTTTATGTATTTTCAAGGGAAATAATTGAATAGCAAACAAAAAGAACATGAATTTCAAACGAGTCTAATCTTGAATTATAAATAACTATAAAAGTGCCAAGTAGTAATTACTGCGTTATATTTAATTTACATTGAGGTTTTATACATACGTAAATACGTCGTTTTAGTTTTATTGTAGCTTTAATCGTGTCATTAGTGCATTGCTGGCCTTGCAATCAATAAATGCATCAATTTGTAACCTACAATAAAATTAATTTCAATTCGAAACCGGAATTTAAATCCATAAAATTTACGTGTAATTTCGCCTCGACAAATTGCCATTTGTTGATGCCGCCATTTTCGACCGACTTCCCAAAAGAAGGAGGTACTCAATTCGTCTGTATGTTTTCTATTTAGTGATTTCGAAATTTCCCTATAATGTCAAGAAAAGTTAACGTGTATTTTGACTATTCGTACTGTCTGTAAATTTATCTGTAGCATGCTGCAGAGAAAACTGTGGTTGTTAGTTATTTTTCAGTTAGTCAATAAACTATGCGTAATCTTTAGATTTTAAATCATGGCAAAATTCTTGCTCTATACTAATTTATTTAATATCATCTCATCTTTACGCGTGTTTGATCTTTTTTTTTAGTTTTAGACAGCCCTACGTTTATGTTCTCCGTTCCGGTTTCAGTTGTCCATTTTCTGTTACGCTTGTGATTTTTATCGTGTTTCCACTCCTGAAAAATTCTTACATAAACACATTAACTAAACAGCTTTTTACATTGCGGTTTCCCTAATCCCTAAATTTTCTGATAAGTTCGGTGACATAATCTGTTCAACTGGTTTTGGGTCGGAATTATAATCTTTATTTGTATTTTTTTTTCTTAAACGCACGCTATCAAACCAGTTCCGGAAGGAATATTCCGTAATGTGATTCATTTTTAACATTTACTGTTTTTCGATTAACAGGCATTGTAAAGGTTTGGGTTATTTTTATATAGTTATACAGAGAAAATATTATTTTTAGTGCTTTAATGTATCCGTAATAAAATTACTATCGGTTACCTCCGCGTTCATATTGCTCGCTTGTCACCTTCTCTTATATAAAAAAGAAGATTCTAAATAAATACCTATCAGGGTGTGATCACATATGAAGCTTACAACCTCTTTGTTAATATCCGTTTTTATAATACCATTCATATAAATTAAATACGTGGAACAAAGCAAGCGTTATAAAAACGCCAATTTAATGTCCAATCTGTATCATGACAAAAAGTTCGTGGGAAGAAAAGCTCGAATGTTCTTGAATTAGAATATAGACACGCAAAAGATGGAATTAATACTTGGATTAAGGAAAAAAACTTTTTGAGTTTTAATTATTTCCGAAAAGTTTGGCTTAGGTCTAGTCCAGTGCAAGGGCCTCGTTTCTTAGAACTTCGTGTTATGTATCAAACGTTAGGTTATGTACTTCAATTGTTTTTAGCTGTAATCAATAAGTAATATTAAAGGCCAAAGCGAACGTAAACAAATGTACAGTTAGCAAAAAAGTGTATTTAATTTCCTTATCATACAAAAATGTACCTTGACCTTTTGGAGAGCTTACGCTACTGTTGTTTGTAATTAAGATACGTCAGTAACTACTTACTCTCATTTTTATCATTTATTTGCCTTGAAGTACAAATAATTTTAAGACGTCAGTAGCTTTTTGTTTTTAAAAGGTTTTTTGCTAGCATAAATAAAAATCGGACACGGTTCAATTTAATATTGTTTAAATAGAGATCGAGTTTTAAAGAAACGTTACGCTGGTTATTTATAACTTGTTTATTGCGTGTTTAGTTTCTCTATTATCATTAATTAGTACTAAATTAGGATTGATATATCTTTTTCATGTCTTTGTAAAACAAAAATTTTCATCACCAGCAAAAAAGTTTAAAAATTCGATGTTATAAATAAATAAATGTGTATAAGATTTGATTGAATTAATATAGGTTTTAAGTTAAACTTAAGAATAAGCAAATTTTAGTACAAATTTTGCTTACACTCAATTTATTCCTGAGTTTAACTTGATACTGCGTTTATTTGTAAGGCTGGATATGTTTAACGTAATGGAGTTATCTAGTAACATTAATGAAGGTTTTTTGTCATAATTTATTATGTTATTTCATGGCTTTACCTTAAAATAAATTTAAATTATTAAATGCATATAACTTCAATGAGAATACTTCGAAATCGGTTAAATTAATTTCTAACATCTTGGTATTGTTTTGTAAAAATGATAGTCGTTGAGAAATATCTACATTAATACCTATAGATATAATAATATTGTATCATGAGAAATCTTACTAATATTATGAATGCGAATGTTTTAATGGATGGATGGATGTTTGTGAGAGTTAGTAGCCTAAACTGTTGGACGGATCTGGATGAAAATTTGCATAGATTTAGAGGATAGTCTGGAAGAACATATAGACCTGGATTTTTTTATTCAATAGTTTACAAATTATACAATAATACGCTTTATAAAAAATCCTACACTTTTATTAACAAAAATATTTGAATATAGCATGTATGTAGTTGAAGAAATTCAAACGCTACTATTTTTTCTACGAATTTTCTTTTGTATTCATGTTAAATATTTCCTTGTTTTGAGTAGTTAGTAACCTTAGTGTTGAACTGTTATACGTTTGCACATTATAAACGAACACTAGAAGGATATTTGCATGTTAGAAAAAAAATCTCATACACACTTACAAGTACTTGAAAAATAATAAAATACAGAGTAAATATGAACAAAGCTCGTAGTTTACTATCAACTCGCAAATAACAGAGTTAAATAAAAAAGAAGATTTTTAAACAAGTAGCTGCGAAAAGCTTATTAGTAAAATACTACAGTCATATGTTTGTATTTCAAACAATGATTTTAATATAATTTTATACTTATATGTGAGTTATTTAACAACAATCTATCTAGGGCATATAACTACCATTTTTCAGTTATTTAAATATGCAAATATGTAAAAGCCGCTATGGTGGAATTTCATTATTGCTAAAATTATTTACCATCAAGGAATTTCCCAAAGCAGGCGTAAACGACCTTCGAGAAAGGATTTTTCGAAGCCGTTTACAATCATTTCCGTGACAATAAAATCGAATTTTAATATCACGTTATATTAAAGCATTATTGTCTTTGTTTTTTTAATGGAGTAACTGCTTGAATTTAAAATTTTATAAAAGTCTGCCGACAATAAAATCCCATAGATCCTGTTGGTTGTATCAAAATATTTTTATTTTAGCTGTATTCATTAAAATATTGTTTATACGAAAGTTACATGTTGTTAACATTTAAAATTTTTCAAATGTCATAGCTTTTTGGTTATAAACATCAAAAGTGCTTGGAAAAATTAAAATAACAAAGGAAAAACACCAAGGCCTTTTCCAACGTTTTCGCAATCTATAGGGTCGCGACATAAAAAAGAATATTGATTGGTCGCGACATAAAATACAATATAATTATTGGTTGTAACGTGAGCAATAATTATTTAACTCTAATAATTTTATAATAACCAATTATATATCTAACCTTAAATTAACGACCCTCGTCAGTTCAACCTTGAATGAATCCTGATTCATGCGGAAACATCTTTTTTATTTCAAGCGAAAGGTTTATGAAGTAAATTCTGTTCTTTCTACATTGAATTTAGTTTTTTCCGGTTTTAAGGACATTGTCTTGTTGGGTGAATGCCCGAACATCAATTACATAATGCAGAATTTAATCTGTTAACTGCCCAATGTATCATAACGAATGGTTTTGAAGGATTTTTAATATTAGAATTCGTATTTTTTATTATTTAATTAATGTGGTTAAACAATCCCAACATTTTTTAATAAGACAAATGTAACATCAAATTCTGAAAATTGCTCGTTTTATTATACTTAATGCATGCACTTAAAGTTTTTGATCGCATTATTAAATTGAATGGAACTTGAACTTGTGAGAACTTGAAATAGAACTTGATCAAACATATTTTAAATGATAGCAAATATGGTCAAATGAGTTGTGAAAACTGGACATGAGGTCATCTACTTGTACAGCACTAGCACCAACCTTGTAACTTATTTCAATGTTATGCGAACATTACGTATGTCACCGACCCGTTTTGAACTCTGCCAATATGTAAACTTTCACCAAATTGTTACTGGTGAATAATATTTTTGTGGTGACATGTCTAGTCGCTATAAATTTGCAAAGTAAAGATAAATTTTATTTTAATGTTAATAGTTTAACTTCTTTATGTTAAAAAGATTTTTTTTTCATTAAAACAATATCTGAAAATGATTCTATTCATAAAGTAGAAAAAAGTACTTGCTTTTGTACCAGTACAATTTGCCGATAATTTAATAAAATGTCCGGTCTATTTGTAAATTGGCGAAGTTTATAATCGGACGATGGCATACACATGTCTTTCATCATCACGTATTTAGATGAGTACTTTTGTCAAGGAAAATTTTGTTGACAAAAACTGGAAAAACTACTTTATTTTAAGGAAAATTATACTTATTTCAAAAATGTATGACTTAATTATATATATGTTACCAAACTTTTGTGTTTACAATTTTTTTTTTATTTTAGGGACGTAAAACGTTCTCAACAAAAATACCCAAAGTTCATTTACATGTATATTTTATGTGAGAATGAACGACTAATTTGTAACACGATTTTTATTTATTAACTGATGTTAAAATTGGAGAAGGTTCATAATTCGTTTGCATATTTTATGTTTCTTACATCGGTACTTCGACACATACAAGCTGGTTTTTGTTGTAAAAGATTTTTATCACGAGATTTCCAAGATAATTGAAATGTCATTGAACCTTACAGACTTACTAATTTAGGGAGATTTGAGACACGCCCTTTTAAGATTTAATACAACTGCAATTCGACTTATCGGGAATATACTTACATGAGATTTGTTTCATATCTGATTTGTTTTGTTACTTTTTAAAAGTAACTAGTTATTTAATTACGGTGCAGTAATAAAAATGCCTTTAAATTCAAGATTTGAATGCTCGGCGCGGAAGACTGATTTCATTAGAGTATTTTTTGACATACTTCCCAAAAGAAGGAGGTACTCAATGTGTCTGTATGTTTTTATTAGATATTTTTTGATAACAGCCTTGTAGTATCCTTGCATTGGACCACACACAATGATAATGGCCTGCTCATTGATTATTACTGTCCCTTCGATTGTTCTATGTTTTTATTAGTCTGTGTATAGCAATCGGTCAGTACAGTAATACGATTGGTAGTGATTTTATTATATTAAAAAACAAAAAATGTTAATAAAGAACTACAATTTTTATCAACACAATGTGAGTTTTTCTTATAAACTACGTTTAGTATTGTATTCTGCAATAAAGTTTTAAATTAGTGTAGTTACCAATGTATCCAAATTAAAAAAATATGTTTCTGTTCGCTGTCGCCGTAAACATAATTAACCTATCGTAAAATCAATTATGTTTGCGTAAACTTAGGCTAGAGGTACACTGCTATGAACCTACATATTATTTAGTTTTCAATCTTTGTAACAAAACGGAGGTAATATATGTAACAGTAGTGGAACTCTATTATTACACAAACCAGATTGATTTCAATTGTACACAATAATAATTGCGTTGTACTTTCCAGAACAATGAATAGCGGTGTGTTGGAAGAGTCTTTACTGATGGGTACTTCGGTGACGCGTGAGAAAATGGAAAAATGGTCCGCGGCACAGGCAAAGGGAGAGAAGGTTGAGATCGACGTGTATGGAAAACCCACAGACGAACAGATAAAGGAGTTAGAGAAAGTCAGGAACCTTAGCAAAGAGTTACAAAGCAATATACACGTAAGTTAAAGCTGAAAATGCAAGGAGAATGATTCATTTATTTTTTTTACCATAAAATACAGATAAAAATCATTATTATCATTTGTAGGATTTAATTGCTCATATTAAAAGATACAAGTTTTAACGATTTCAGACTTACTTTGACTTTGTACAAAAAACGTTAAAATCGAAGAATACAAGAGTATCATTAAACACTTTTTATGCATAAAACACAATCATTATAATAAATACTACTTGATTGTGAAAAATTAATAATCATAACCTCACTTCCTTTCTACGTTGAGGAAATATTTTTTGCAAGACCTTGAATAAACCCTGTCGCACGCAAATAGTAATTATAAATTGACATCACAAAGGTTCAATTATATAGAACAGGATTCATTATCTACTAGAGTTGACCAAGATAAATAAAGGGCGGTCGTATTCTGATTATTAATTAATCAAAAGCTAGGACCGTACTTTTGTCTTCGTGTTCTGAATATGGGTATAGAAAAGTTTGGACGTATTGTTATTATACGAGTGAAGAAAGAAAAGGTACACGTGTTGCTGATTGTGCAAACGAAGTAATTGATAAACGAATTAAAAACGACTACATGTATTTTTAGTGTAGTTAGTACCGAATAGTTTCAGACTCGTTAGGGGTCTTACAGGGTTGGTGATTGGGCTGGGCATTTATGACGTTTTAAACAGTTTTATGTGTCACGAAAGTTTTAATTAATCATTATAAATTACAAGAAAAAACACATCTGTCTACAGGATTTGGAGAACTCTGTTCGTAACGCTGCCTTAGACAATGAAGCAATGACACCGACCGCTCCGATTCTAAACTATTCAGAGGATCATGAGTTTGTGTCTGCTAACAAGCTGGATGATTACTACGCAGAGGAAGACAGAGCGGACGCACTAGAGGAAGAGAAGAGGAAACTGACAAAGGGTAAAGCGGCAATGACCGATATACAAAACTTTTATAAAGATCAGTGTGTGTTTTTGACTGGTGGTACTGGATTTTTGGGTAAAGGTGAGTTTTTCTTGCTTTGTTTTGCTTTTACTGTCTCAACGCCTTCATTGAATTATGAAGTTATTTACTTATTTGTAATAGTTAATGTTTTTCCCGCGACATTGTCCGTACGGAATAAAAAACTCGATAAGCAGCCTGTGTGTATTTTTAAAATTTGGTCTATATCTATGCCTATAATTTTATTGACTTCCATTTTGAAGATACGTAGTCGTTAACATTCATATATACATTCAAATTTTCGCGTTTCAAATATGTATTTATTAGTAAAAAGTAATGTTATAAATACGATTAATGAAACTTCTACCTCATTTTATATCGTTTAATGATGTTAGATAAGGATAGTGAGATCTACGAGTATATCAAATTTTATTATGTAATTTGAAATTAGTAACAGAATTAAAATAACAATTCTTTATTTAACCCTATACCACACATGGAACCAGCTCTTACCGTGTTTGTGCATGTTTGCTATATGTTGTGTTTGTGTGTATTTTTTTTATTTTTACTGCAATAATCATAGTTATTACAATTGTTGCAGTTTTGTGTACTCTGTGTATGATATGTTTTATGCATTTTGCATTTTATCGACTTGAGACATCAGCCTTGCAAGTGAAACTTGTTTTGAATTCTCCAACCGAAACATGTTTCTGTTCTACATTTACATTCCTTGTTTTATATGAGTTTGTCTTATTTTTAATGCTATCTGTTTGAAGCTTGTTCCTTTTTATAGAGTGAAATGAATTGCTTACTTATATGACTATGGGTTTCCACTACTGAAACGCTTGTAAAAGAGACAAAAACCACTTTGTAGATGAGAACGAAAGAGATACCAATATGTTTTGTATTAGTTGTTTCGATAGTGAAAACCCAGTTATAAAAATTGCATGTATACATGGTGTTGTGAATGGTGTTTTTTGTTTTTGTGTGTTTTCTTTTTTTTGGCTTTGGAATCGGCAAAAGAAATACGGTAAGTGATATGTATTATAATATTTTTGTAGAAATAAGCTATTTAAGGAATTTATAAATACGTGTGCTAATTTTTTTTAAAAAAGTTACACAATTTTATTTTAATAGTACAAGGACGAACTACAAAAAATCCCACTCTCACTCCTTATATCGGTTACGGTCAATCTCATTACCCTTTTTAAGTTTTTTTTTTAATTAAAACTGGTTTTTAAATTTTACAAACTAGTAGGTTTGTATACTTTTTAGGTAGAGTTCCATAAAGGAACCGTCACTGTTGTCTTTATAAGGTCTTTACTAATTACAAAATTCTATAATAGACAATGATTATCATCAATTTTGAATTTCCTAATAAGTGTTTGCATTTTAATTTACAACCATGAAATAAATGAATATATCTATACTACTATAATAAAGCGTAAACACATACTTCTTTGTTGCCTAAAATGTCAGCAATTACAGCACTTTTCGAATAATTCTTTTTTTAATAAAAAGCCCCTACACTTACGTCACGCTTTCGCCTATATGTTTTCACGCCATTAAACTTAGGGGGTAAATATTTTGGATAAAAACCCTAATGTGGGAAAGAGACCATAAGTTGCTGCCAACATCAAGGAAGCAAGGTTGCCATAGTTTGTCGTGTCATATCATTTTGACATTTGCAATTGACAATTTGACACATGTTAAGTAATAAAATAATTTTATGCTGATGAAATTGCACGGGAACAGCTAGTACATGAATAATAATAAGTTGAGCACAAATAACATTTGCGGTAGAAAGCTGCAAAATAAGTTATCTTTTTAATGTTTGAAGTTACGAGCTTATTTCCACCTTATGTTCTTAAAACCTAGTTTTTTTTTAACTAAGTTAATGATGGGACCAATTTTCCATTCATCTTATCTATATGTTTGTTTTTCTATATTCCTTTATTATTTTATATTCCTTTCTATATTCCTTTATGTTTGTAAAAACGTTTAGTAAGAAGTAATTAGCTTGCAATAAGAAGGTACATTTGTAGATGTCTTGCTATTTTGAAAGTTACGGAACAAATAATTGAACAGCTTTTGAAACGCTAATGTAATGACGTTTTAAACTTTTTTTTCAGACGGCAGAATGAGTCTAAAGGCCAGTCGCGTCGTAGAGAAGGTGCTGCTTTAATAATGTTTCTTTTTTAATATATTTTTTTATTCGTTTGGTGTAACTTTGTAGTGTAACAGAATGTAATAAATTATTTATGTAACTATTATGCGTTTTATTTTATATCTAAGTCAATCAAATAGCATTTGAAATATACCACACATGGGCGGTTGTGATGAAGTCGGTAAAAAATTAACTAAATCTCGTAGACTAAACAATGACTAAGGACTGGACACGGACATTAGTGGTCTGAATGCAGACGACATTGGGACATTAACAGTAGGTAAAATGTTGCCGGCCTTACATCGATCAAGCTATCTATACAGATTGAAGCAGTCCGTGTGTATTGAGCCGATATGAGATAGCTTTCACAATTGTAAAACAAACTTTCATTACCGCTTAGGCTATGCTAGATGAAAATAATAGCAGGTTTATTTTAAATTCTTTTTTTATTATAGCAATTTTAGTACTTAGGAGCTTTTCAGAGAGCTCAATTTCATCATTCTATCATTACATCAAAACTTGTTTAGGTTTTTATGTGTTACAAAAATAGTCTAAATTAACCTGAGCACTTAACGGAACAAAACTTCAGTGATGAATAAAATATAATTCCAATTTGGCCCAATTTATTTGTGGTAATTATGTAGTTTTTTTGAGAAGCACGAGTAAATAAGTTCGATGTTAATCGTAATTAAATAGTTGTTAATAATAACAATTACCTTGCTAAGAAGTACTTCGGTAATAAGATGTTAGAATCTCGATTCTAACACTATCTATAGTTTTTATGGTGTAATGTGCTATTTTATTCTTAACCACAACGGGTTCCGTGGTGTAGTGGTTATCACATCTGCTTTACACGCAGAAGGCCGCCAGTTCGATCCTGGCCGGAATCATATTTTTTAAAAATAGTATCAACAAAATTTTTTGTTGTTTGCAGTCATTTTTTTTCACTGCATAAAACAATCATAGCAACCATAATGATGAAAATGTAAAAGTATACCATCAGATAAAAACGTAGTTCTGTTAATAATATGTTTGTTACAGTTTTAATAGAGAAATTGCTACGTTCATGTAAAGAAATAGACACAATTTATGTATTGATTAGAGCGAAAAAGGGCAAAGATGCTGCTTCTCGTCTACATACCCTTTTAGATGATTTTGTGAGTATAAAACAATTTGAAAATATTCTACTAGTCAATAGATGGCGTGATACTTAAAAACAGAATGTATCGGTATTTTTACATTTTGTTAAGTTATATAATTCTTTTCATTAATTATAGTTAAATTTATTAACATATCTTCGAAATAAGAGCACAGTTTCGTTTCTTTCAGCTATTCCATAGAGCTCATGAAGAAAATCCGAAGGGTATACATAAATTGGTGCCTATAGTCGGAGATATGGAACTACCCGGACTTGGACTTTCTGATGAAGATAGAAAGACACTTACTTCCAAGGTATGTTTAAATAAAATTGTGAAAATGGTATATTATGATATACCCATTTCAATTTTGAGATAATAACCTCATCCTTTTTGAATCCTGTGAAAGTTTTGTTTCTTAATTCCTTAAAATTAATTTTCAGGTTTCTATAATAATAAATTCTGCAGCCACAGTAAAGTTTGACGAGCAATTGTCGATTTCTACCGGTATTAATGTTAGAGGAACAAAAGAGGTGCTCAAACTTGGCAAAGAATGTCGAAACCTAAAGGCGATTACACACGTGTCTACCGCTTTCTCCAACACATATCTCAAACATATAGAAGAAAAGTCAGTTAATCTATATGTTACTTTATCTTTTGTCCGTATGATTTTTTTGATTATGGCTTTCTATGTTTAATAAAAACATGCTTATTTCCAGGTTCTACGAACCCCCAATGACGGTCGAGGCGTTAGAAGCCGTCTCGCAACTAGACGAAGGATTAATAGAGAAAATTTTACCCACGTAAGATTGTCAAAATTGTAGTGAAAAATAGTGTGTTGAATGGGTGAAATACCTAACCCTAAAAGAAAACAGGCGCAAGGGCTAGGAGGCATAATTATTCTATGAAAATTAGCGACACAACTTGTCCTAGCACCCATAGACGACCAAAAAACAAAACAATATCAAAGCCCTTTAAAAATGTTAAAATCATTATGCATTTGTTTCAGACTTCTAGGCAAATATCCAAACACGTATTGTTTTACGAAGGCTATAGCTGAGGAAGCGGTACGAAAATACGGAGAAGGAATGCCGATATGCATTGTTCGACCTTCTATAAGTAAGTTAGGTTATAATTTACTCCACCTACATCTAATTATATCCGGAGATTCATCCATCCGTTGTTAAGTTATGTGGTAACAAAGGTCTATCTATCATCCATGCAAACTTTCGCATTTATATTGCCTACTAGCTATTGCCCGCGACTTCGTACACGCGGATTTAGAAAAAATACGAACCATGAAAATAAAAAACGACGTATACCTCGGGAACCTGACGTTTTTGAATTTGAATCATATCCCATGTGTTACGCCAGAATCGGTTTTATACCAAATTTGAACCGTTGCAGTTATAGACTAAACAAAAAAAAAACTAAATCAATGTATCCCACGGGAACGGTAATTATTTCCGGAATCAAAAGTAGCCTATGTGTTCATCCAGACTATCCTCTACATCAATGCTAAATTTCATTAAGATCCATTCCACTGTCTATGTTACAAACTCTAAAAAACATCCAATCATCCATCTCTACTTTCGCATTTAAAATACCTATTAGTATGATAATGACTGGCAGGGTACGGGATATGATGACTTTATGATTTAGTCGTTTATTTCAGTTCTGTCAACCTATGAAGAGCCGGTGCGTGGTTGGACGGATAGCGTATATGGACCTACGGGTCTCATTATTGGTATTGGAACAGGGGTAAGTAAAAAAAGTCAGTTCCTCACCGTCCGGCGCTACATAACATGTAAGGATCTGATGCATGTATTTCCCCTGCCGATAAACAGTAATATATTGTCGTCCCTTTCATATTCTTTGAAGAAACAAAGACAACAATATGTTTCAGGTTCTTCGCACAATGTACATGGACATGAATAAGGTAGCAGACATGGTGCCAGTGGATTTGACTGTCAACGCCATACTAGCTTCCGCTTATAATACGGCTAAACATTTTAAGGAAAAGTAAGTTAGAAAAAAATTATCTTTAAATTAACAGTAGTGAAACCTACGGTCGCTGTATTGAGCCGTGGTTTATCACTATGGTAATGCATAGAAATATCAAAGTCACAAAATTGGCGGCAAAGCACCAACGTTGAATAGGCATTAGGGAGAAAAAAATCAATAACAGATAACGAAGGACGATACAAATTTAAATAAATAAAGTGAAACTATAACTGTATCTAAGCTATATTATATCTTTGTTACAGTCAAACCTCTGACATACCTATCTATAACTTCGTATCCGGCGCTCAGAATCCAGTAAAATGGGAAACTTTTATAGAACTAAACAGAAAACACGGCATGGATAAACCTACTATGAAAGCTGTTTGGTAAGAAACGATCTAATTCACATATAATAAATTAAATTAATATAACTATAACTAAGTTTTCAAAGCTTACGAGAATCAGGGCGTTTACAGCCTATAACAGATCTAATGAGAAATGAAAACACGAAATAACTAAGAAGTGAATCGATAAATATTAGTTAAAATCAAGACTAAATTAAACAGATCACTTTGTCGTTACAATTTCAGGTACTACGGACTGAATCTAACGAGTAATTACTACATGTTCCTCTTCTACAATTTCTTCTTGCATTACCTTCCGGCGTTGTTCCTGGATTTATACTGCCTGCTAACTTTTAAGCGGAGAGTGTAAGCTTTTTTAATATTATTTTAAAAGTTATAATATGCTTAATGCGACTACTTCAGTTGTAGAATTTACTTGACAGTCTCAAAGAAGACCATAATCCACCTCTTAGAGTAACCAAAAAAAAATTGACCAACCCTAGTATGGGAGAATAGTGTTGTAACTACAACTATGTCAATTTAAATGAACGTTAAATAATTTTGTTTTTCTTGCAGAATGATGAAACTGTACAAGAAAGTGATGAAGATGGCCAATATATTATTCTACTTCTCAATGCAAGACTGGCGCTTCTCTGATGACAACGTGCGACAAATGTGGCGCTCACTATCCCCCTCTGACAGGGTCGTCTTCCCCTTCAGTATGGCAGAAATGTCCTGGGATTATATGACTGAGACGTTCTTACTAGGTCAGTGGTTAAAGACAAGGATAGATGTAGAACTAAAAGAGACGGTTGACTGACTCTCAGATTATATAGAGAACAGTGGTAATTTTTATAATTATCATTTCAGGGATTCGAGTTTATCTAGTTAAAGACGACGTTTCAACTTTACCTGAAGCTAGGAAAAAATGGAACAGGTGATTGTTTTTTTCACTTTCTTTATAACTTACGTTACGTTACAAAATATACGTAAATGTCTACGTGAAGCAATTAAAAAAAAATAACCAATTCAATCACAGAGCGAAAACTTTTTTGGGGTCTGTGACACGCAACTTTTTAGCATAACATAACATAACTTTCAATATTACTTATTCAGTTTCAGTTTTTTTTTGTTGCAGATTATACTACATGCACCAGCTTCTGAGATTAGGCACACTATGTCTCGTTCTTTATTTAGGATATTCGTTATTACGAATTTTCTTATAGATCATAAAAATAAATGAAACACGGTGGCTCTGTATTTGGGCGAAGTAGTGAATAGTGGAAATGTTTAACATAAGACAAAAGAAAAGCCTCTTTTCAGTCGGACAATGATAGAGATTAATTTGAAACCTACAGGAGATTAAAGAAAGGAGATTAGACGTATCTAGATATAAACTAAATACCCACAATTTATACCTACCTGATAGGCGGGCATAAATGTAACCATTATAGTTTTTTTATTGTTAAAAATAAAAATTCGGCTATCAGGTATCTTATCTAGTTGGGAGCAGGGCCTACATTTTTTTATTGTTTCAAAATGTCATAAAACGAAAAATGTGTGATAAAAATAAAAAACAAATGTTAACACATAGTTTAAGTGTGTAGTGTTTATTTTATTTAAGCTATGGTTCATGAATTATGATCATTATTTTATTAGGTAAATAATTAATTTGTTAATGTTTGCTCAATTAATAGGAAATTTAGGTTAAATATACATACATTTATCTCATGAACCTTGTAAGTTTATTGATTTTGCCAACATGATAAGCCTATAACTATTCTTTTAACTTAAAATTACCTAAAAAAAACTGCAGACTAGACATTGTTTTCTATCACCTCAGGTACCGTTATGTCTTAATGATATAATTAAAGTATTACACTTTTTGATTAAAGTACTTTTCACTTACTTTTCACTTAATTAATTAAAGTGCTACATGAAAAATAAAAGTTTTGACAAGGTATTCAGTGTTTCATTTTTGATTCATAATGTAAACGTAACGACTTGAGAAAGAAATATAGCCAACAGACGTAGTAGGTAGCAAATAATGCTCTAAAGCACGAAAAATTTAAGAGAAATTACTCGTATCGACATCGACAAACAACATTATCGTAGTATTTCTGCATATTTTGCCGACTCTCCGAAGGGACAAGGGCAAGTTGATGATGACTATCATAGTATTGCATTTCATAAGATTATTACAAATGAATACGTTGTGAAGTTAAAACGGAACGTATCGTTTTAATAATAAAAACGCGCACAGCACATCACTATCTTTTATTTTATTATCGTGTCGTGTTGTCAGTTGTCAACTGTCACATTCAATTTACTTTCCATCAAAATTGTGTTGCGAGTACGAAAAGTCTTACAAATGTTGTTTATTACTTTTAAATATATAATGGAAGGATAAATCATGAATTATAAGTTGTTTATTAACATTTAATTAGTACATTACAACTTTAAAATTACCCGTCAGCATTTATATTAGTAAAAATTTGTAATACAATTTTGCAATAAGATGGATGAGACAGTGGTTTTAGTTTTGCTTGTTTTGGTGATGTTGATTGGTTCCTATGTTGCTGGCAGTATTCCACTTAATGTTAGCATGTCTGAGGTAAGTGTTTTGTGACGAACAGACAATTTAGCACTCAATGTAGTGTAATTATTTGAATCAATGCAACTGATCTAATAATCTAGAACTGGCCTATTTACTATTTTCTTGCAAACAGTTACGGTCGTCACGCATGGTTTAAGGATATTGCAATATGTGTTAGAGCTATAAACTCTTATTATAAGTATAGAATAAACTAGTTCTGCAAAGATGCAAATCAGAAACTAAACAAAAAAACTGTTTGCATAATTAGACAGGAAATCCCGTAACAAGATTGAATGGTTAAGGAAAATCTTTATTATTCTATATGCGTCCAACTTTCAATGGATTGTTAAATTTGATAAAACCAAGTGGTGTTTGTTTATTTTTAAAGTAAAAAAAAATAATTATAAAATCGCTTTAAAACAACTGACTATAAACCCATTTAAGAAAACAAGACTTCAAGTCACACATCATTTTGTTGTGAAGCTAAAAACCCTATACTTTATTTAAAAAAAAAATAAAAAAGTAATGTTACATTGAATAATTATATACTGTTTATTATCTGTGATTATTTTTTACAGGACAAGCTACAGAAAGTGACAGTTTTTGGGGCCGGCCTACTAGTTGGTACTGCACTAGCAGTTATAATTCCCGAGGGAGTGAGGGCACTGTTCTCTGAACAAGTGGCACTTGTCACTAAAGATTACACACCAGAGCCAGCCACACATAGTGATTTGCATTCCGTTATTGGCATATCTTTAGTACTAGGTAAGAGGTGTATGTTAATGTTTGTATATTAAAATCAACTATGTTATATACTAGTGGAAAATAATAATTATTTGGGACAGCAATCTACTGCCTAACTACGCGCTAACTACAGTTTTTAACCACCCATTTATGTAAGAACCTTGCTTACTAATATTTATTTTGAATGTTTAGATGGATGGATGGATGTTTGTTAGTGTTTGTAGTCTAACTGCTGAATGGATCTCGATGAAATTTGGCATAGATGTAGAGGATAGTCTGGAAGAACATTTGTTCTTCATATAAACATAAGTAGCCTATTTAGGCTACTTATGTTTATATTACACATGGATGGAGTAGCGGGCAAAAAATTCCTAGTGTAAATTTGTGTAACCACATTTATTTTTTATGTTTTATAGGTTTTGTTTTTATGCTGTTAGTAGACCAATTGTCATCAAGATATAATGACACCACAAATCCTACTGAGAAGAATATTACAGCAACAGTTGGTTTAGTTGTCCATGCCGCTGGTAAGTGTTTAAACCTTTTTCCACTGCGCTTGCTCGCTTCAAGCATATTATTACTATACACAATGATAGTGGGGACTAATCTCATAGTGGAAAAAGGTACACATTACATAAAAGAAATCTTCATTTTTTTTTATATCATAAAGCAAATGAGCAAGTGACCATCTGAGACCGGCAATATAGCGTAGCGACCCTTAGTTGTTACCCTTAGTCAACAGAGGACGAGACACATATATTAGGATAGGAATAGGGAACAGGATATTTCCCCTTCCTATGCGACTCCAGCGCTAAATACACCTTCGCTTCCCATCCTTATGAGTGGGAAGGAAAAGGGACTAAGGGACATCATAATAGATTCACATTAATACAATTGATTTAAAAAATCTTTTAGAACTATAAAAGATTTTTTCGTAAAAAAAATTTTATCAACATGTTGACATAATGAACGAAAACTTTGTGCAACATCCATTGCTGCAATTAGTCGCGACGATAAAACAACGCCGATAGCGGCCCGCACGTGACTATAAACAAGTTACAATTTACAATGTCACGATCATTGTGATTGTAACTTGATAATCAAGTTGACTAATTTCTGAAATTTTACTTAACAATGAATGAAATAATTTCTGGTACTGGTAATTCTAGGGTCCGCATACCTGATGGGGTTATATAGCGAAAAATTCATTAAAACAGCCATGTTGATTAAGAAATGCAACAACAGGGGTTTACCAATAAGATTTAGAAGGGGTCTATATAAAAAATATAAGGCCTCTTTTCTAACATTAGGATAACCTGACTAAGTCAGTTATGACTTATTAGAGATATCAGTCAGATTATCATAATGTTTTGTACATGTATTCTATCAGTAAAAACTATGTTAAGTTAAAGTTAGTACACAAAATTACATTACAGTTATTAATACTTATAATTTTTTCTTCAAAAAGAAACACTGATTGTCCATAAGTCCTATTTTAACCCATAGTTCCAATAATTGAATTGGCACGTTAGTTAAAAGAGTATGCTTGTTTCCCACGTGCCAACTAAACATGAACATTGTTATAGCTGACGGCATAGCGCTAGGCGCTGCGGCGACCACGTCTCATGCTGATGTAGAACTAATTGTGTTCCTGGCTATCATGCTGCACAAGGCTCCAGCTGCCTTTGGACTGGTTACGTTCCTCATGCACGCAGGATTAGACAGGTAAGTGTTGGCTAGATTTATGTCTATACATCTAGTTGGCACGTCGGGCAGAAGAGCACACTTGTGATTGGTGTGCCAAGACAAATATCAAACATTGTCGATTGTTGTAAAGTGACAAGCTACAACCAATAATTTAGTTACAGAAATGTTAGCGTATAGTAAAAGAGATTTACATATGTTTAACTTTTTTTTTTCAGGAATCGGATACGCAAGCACTTGCTGATATTTTCTTGCGCGGCGCCGCTGCTGGCATTGCTCACGTATTTTGGTATCGGCAACGAGAGCAAGCAGACGTTGAATGATTTTAATGCTACAGGTAAGTTTGAACGCCAAAAAGTAATAAAAAAATACAATGTTGTAGTACTTGCAAAAAGTTTTATTATGCTTCGGTTCATGTACAAAGTTTCTCAAATGTCCTAAAATTTCACAGTGCACAGTCATAAAAGTACAAAAATATATTCAAAACGTGTTCGGTGTTTTACAAATAGAATGCTATAGCATTTATAAAGGGGAGTAAAGGACAATTTCTTCATCTTCCTAAGAGAATCCCAAAATACAAACATGTGTCAAATCCCTTAAATTCCGAATAATTAGCGTGGTGTAACTAAAACATTTTACATAAAAAATATTATGTGATTTCTGACATCTTACATATCTGTGTGCTACGTTTTATTCTAATACTAGCTTTTGCCCGCGACTCCGTCACCGTGGAATTTAATAAAAACAAAAGCAAGTAGCCTATGTGTTCTTCCAGACTATGTTCTACATCTGTGCCAAATTTTATCCAGATCCGTTTAGCCGTTTAGGCTACAAACTCTAATAAACATCCATCCATCTAAACTTTCGTATTTATAATATTATTTATAATTTATAATATTTTATATAATTTTATAATCTGTTTCCAGGTATAGCGATGTTATTCTCAGCGGGGACGTTCTTGTACGTGGCGACAGTGCACGTGCTGCCGGAACTGACGCAGCACACGCACGCGCACACACACACGCTGCTGCCGATGCAAGATGGCGTCCCCGCCAAGTTGGGCTACGGCGGCCTGCAGCTGTGCGAGGTGCTCATACTGGCGGTCGGCGCCATGCTGCCGGTTGTGCTCACGATGGGACATGAACATTAACGCACAGGTAATAAAGACGAAATTTCAATAATAGGCGATGGAAGTTTTGTTTTAGCGACATCTATGGAAATTTTTAGGACTTAATCTGATATATGTGGTATATGTCTATTTTGCTTATTATGATGACAATTTAATTTGTTTTTTATTTAACGTATTTATTTGTATAATATTAGTTTTATTATTCAAAAATGTTTTTTTAAATAATCTATTTCGTTATAATATTATTGATATTTAAAAATTTATGAAAACAGATGTTAAAAAGTTTCTTTTCCATAGAGGTCTAATAAAACAAAATAAAATGAAATGAGAACAAATGCGGTTTTAAAATTATTAGTTATTTCATGTTCAGTAAGAGAACTTAAAATATTGTATGAAAATTTTTTTTTAATATTAATACGACATTCAAATATATAACAGCGTTTTAAACCTCAAATTCCATTAATTTTTTGCATCTGGCAAATTGCAAGCTTTTGAAACAAAATTCGTTTCAGTGTTCGGCCGACAGCTGCATAAATTGCTTAAATTATCCTATGTATAAAGTTATATTACAATTATTTGTATATGTGGCATCTATTTATGCATTTGCATAATCTTTTTTGTATATATTGGATTGTTAAACAATAGGAAATTGAGATAGATATGTACATTGATTGTTATTTTAATTGATACAGGAAATATTTTTAAAAGTTCTCAAAATTATGTATTTTTTAAGTGATAAATATGAAATTGCAATATGTATCTAATTTCTTTTGTTAAAAGAAACGACGCACCAGAATCGTGCCAAATAGAAAAGATTACCAACCTTTTTATTATTACAATTAATAAACATTTGAATAAAACGTGATTTTTTTGTCCCATGAAGTACATAACCTTTAAAAATAATTTAATTTTTTGGCCTAATTATTTACTATGAAATTTTATTAGTTATACATTTATGTAAAATATCTTTGTACATTCTGTTTGTTATTTGTCTATATGTTAAGAACCCTAATTGAAAAAATTCGCACATTTATTAGTAGAAAGTTTTAAATATATAAAATAAATAGTGTAATGTGTAGTATTTGCAATGCAATAATTTGTCAAATAGAACATAAATGTATAAATAAAACATTTAATTAAAATTTAAGTAATTTTTTAGAACATATTACTGGTTTACATTTTTATATGTTATTTTAAAATAATACATTAGTGAGAAGTTTTAGCGTAAGTTTTTTTCCTTTGAATAATAATGAGAAATGTGAAAGTCTCCAGCGTCATTCTTGAAATTATATTTTGTAGTACATTTAATTAAAAACTACATGTATGTTGAACAATGTAATATAGATTGAAGCTAATTGCATATTGGTACACAAAACATAATAATGGAGAAAGAATTTTTGAATTCAAAAGTAAATTAAAAAAAAATTGGAGACTTAGTATTACAAAAGTATTGAAAGGTTTGTATAAATTTAGTTTATCGCAACTCTGCTTTTCTGTATAAAAATTATGAAATGTATAGTTTGCCGTTTTCATTTTGGATTAAGTTTATTATATTGTTCTAAAATGCAATACTTTAACAATGCAATATTTGGTACAATATTGTTTGCTGGAGACTTGACTGTGAGATGAACCAAATAGGATATGGAACTAGATGTGTTGAATTTTTGGTCTACGAAGAAAAAGCGATAAAACAATGTTATATCTTGTTGTGATGTTTTTTTTTATTAGAATAAATAAAACAGCTTTTTAAGATATGTGTTTTTATTTTTATCCCGAAGCATAAAAAAATGCAATTACGTTTCACTTCAATTTTCGTTTCTTCAAAATAGTGCCATCTATCGGGTAATATTGGTATTATTTACTCAGACATTTTGCTATTCGATACTAGATGGCGCTTAAACAAAATTTTTGGGATATTCTCTACAATGATAAAATAGTGGTGTGACAATCGCCATTCTCCTAATTAGTAGGAATTTATGGTTATACTAAATCAAAATTGTCATGAACCAAAAATAATCCCAAAAATGGATGGATTTGGATTTGCTTGAGTAAACAGACGTTAAAAAAAAATGACTCTTCGGAGAGACTGAAACGATTACATATAATTTTGAGCCTAGTTTTAAAAATAGACTTACAATTCCTCACTCAAAACTTTGTGAATTTTGACAATCTGAGAGCTAAGATATCAATTATTTAATAAATTGAGGTTACAGTCCGAACTCTCTAATATACAACTAAAACGGATGTTTACCAAGTTCTTTAAGTTCTTATGATTATTACATTTAGTGGAAAATGTTTTGAAGTCATTCATTCAGTATTAATAACGTATTGAGGAACAGTTATATAATTAAGGATTGCCTTATAATACAAAAATACAAATCTTCTTTGGAATTTCAGTATAGAAAAAAGCATTTATTGTAAAGGTTTTCAGAAAAACACATTAAACGTAAGTAGTACATAGTTTATTCATCTATTATGATGTTCTTGAGGTAAGTTTCAGTATGATTGACTTGCAGTAGTTAAACCAAAAATGGAAAAACATCATTAGATTATCTCAATTTACATCAAAGACTAGCTTTACTAATCGCATTTCCATAAATTGAATATTCTTTGATTAAAAATTCAGAAATTTTAAATATCTAGGAGTTTATAATACGAGACTAGGGCGTAATGGTTACCCTATGAAAATATATCACAAAAAGACCCGCGACAAAATGGATTTCCAAAAACAAATTAAATCTTTCCAAGTTGTCAGTCCTAAAATAAACTATTAGAAGATAAATAACATTAAGTGGATAAAATTCTAACGTTAAGAGGCGGGAACTGCCTATAAATTAGAGTGTAATAGAGCGAACGCGGAAGTAGGCTCCGCAGACAAATGTCTTCGCTTGTGCCGACGTTTTTAGAAAAGGAAAATGCGGCAAGATATCGCCGGTCTGTCTGGCGCCAAAGCTTTTCCTTCATCCAGAACCGAAAGGTTACGAACAACAACACAGCTTCACAGAATTTTGCACTTTATTGCCAACACAAAAAGCTTATATTCCCTTGAAGTCTTATCAAAGGAACGGTATTGACTTTTCCGGGCACAGTAATGCGTTTTGAGCTCCCGGTTTTCCTTACTCGCGTTTGAAATTTGACTGTAATTACAGACCTTACAGTATATTTTCGAATGATTTTATGTGAACATGTAATATTTTGTCCATGAGCCCTTGTCTGGGTGGCGCCAGCGAACACTCAAATTTATTATTTTGCATTATGTGCCCTAAACCTGAAAAATAAAGTAGTTTTTCTATTTCACTCCGTAGTTAGGGAATTGTAATTTACGAAATGTTATTTACAAAAGTTGCTACATAAACTATGTTTTTTGGGATAAAATAAAATGAACTAACTTTGTTTCAGCTGTGGAAACTTACGGTTACAGAAGTATTTTTAATTATAAACTCTTTAACATACAAGAAAGAAGTATTTGAGCATGATAAAAAATGTACATGAAATAAACAAGACATTTGACAGACATTTGTTATGAATTTACTAACTATGATGAAATTTAAGGTATAATTATTTGTTATTTTTTATAATTGAACTGTAAATTAACTGTATTCTAAATGTTTCTTTTCCAAATTCTCTGTGTATTTTCAAGTTTCAAAATCATTGAGAATGTCGCGAAACATTCGCAAACAACCGATAAAAATAACCAGTCGTATGAAATCGACAATGAAGTAATAAACGAGGACGAAGTTAATGAAAATTCGCTAGAAAATGGTAAAATTTGTGATGTGTTTCGAAAATCTATGTAACTACAACAATAATACATAAATAGTTTTTAAGACGAGAAAGTATTTGTGCCGTAATGTTTTGAGAAAGCCAGATAGAGTTTGTCTTATAAAATGTCAATTAATACATCTATTTTTGTCCGACTTCCCAAAAGAAGGAGGTACTCAATTCGTCTGTATGTTTTTTTATGTGTGTTACGGCATAACTCCGCCGCTAGTGGATCGATTTTGATAATTCTTTTTTTATGACTACATTATGCAGTGGTTGGCTACTTATTTAATTAATAACAATTATCATTATTATGATTATTGCATGTTAGATGGCGATAGAAAACTGAAAATGTACGCGGAACTTCAATCCGCATTGCGAAATATGAACGCAGCCCAAAAGTTCTTGTTTGAAGGTAAACATATACCTAAATAAATACATGTTAATACAGTAGAACCTCGATAATTCAAACCTCGGTAACTTAAAAACCTCTATAACTTCAAAAAATAATATGTTCCCTTCCCATCAGAGCCCAAAACCTTTACAACATAGACACTTGATAACTTAAAACCTCTATAACTTAAAATGTTTTGTGTTTCCTTTGGACTTTAACTTCGAGGTTCTACTGTATTATGAATCTTATTAAATACTAACTGGCGCTCGCGATTTCGTTGCGTAAAATAGAAAACACAGGCTATGTTGGATTGGCTGGATGAAAACGTAGATTTTAATGGTAAATGATTTTTTAAATCAGCCCAGTAGTTTTCGAGTTATTTCAATATATAAAAAAATACAAATATTTGTTTATAATGTTAGTATAGATATAAAATTACGGAAAGTTAATTATCTTTACATTGAATTTATTTCAGATGCGCTCAACAAGTACATTGCTGGAAATATAACTGAAGATGAAATTATCGACTTATTGCCTAACATTCTACTAATCGATGAAGAAACAAAAAATATCTTTACGCAACACGAAAAAGATAAATACAAATCTAAAACTTGCTCTTATAGAAATGATAGCAATTTTATCGGAACTGAAGACCCTGAATGCAGTAAAGACGTTGCTATATATCTTAAAGCAAACATGCAGAAACACGGTTCTGTGTATACTAAATATTATTACAAACCTCGCAATACTCCTAAACCTAGGCTTGGTGAATACAGACTCGGTGAAATAGAAAATGAAATAGAAACCACTTCAACAATAAAGACAACTACAATACCATTTATAATTGATTTAATTAAATCATTTAAAAATCAGAAAATGTCAAAAACAACGAAAACCTATTTATACGATTACATACCTTCTGAGGTGACAGACGATGTTATAGACGAAACTTCTACTGAAGAAGTTATACAAAACAAGACAGAAGACAAAAGACCTGTCATTGATATACTGACACTTTTGACTTTGCTAGATAATTTGACTAAGGACACAGCACAGACTATACGAAGATCTGGGTGGAGCAGCCCACAGCCGTCAGCGCCTCTCTGCCCTTATACTATCAGTTTCGGCACATCCCCGAGATATAAATACTATTATCCATATTTTGAACGAAACCGCACCGGGACTCTTGTTAATATGGTGATTGTTAAAATTGTATAGTTACTTGAATAACTAGTGTAAAAAATTGAGCCCTCTAGATAGAACAAACTACAAGTATGTAGTCTAAAGCCCTCCAGGTGTGCAGTTTAAACTGTTTACTACAAACTGTGCGTGTGTAATTTTAACTGAATAGTTTAACTGACAGTATAAATTTGCCTACACACGGATAGATTTAACTGAACATTTCTTCAATTATAACTGCGCGTCTGTAGATGGCTTTATGTGTTAATCAATGATAGAACAGTTTACTATTGTTTCTTTATTTTATAAAATAATGAAAATTAAAAATAAATCACTTTCTATAGCTACACAATTCTTACGTATTTAGGAACTTATAAAAGGAACGGCAGGACACCTAATTCTTTTATTCTTTATACAAGCATAGGTAGATTAGTTGACTTAAAGGCAATGCAATCTGTCTATACTCTATACGTTCGTCAACAGTGTTACGTGTGCGGACTGGAAGAAGTTCAGATACCCAGGAGCTCCCTTTGTGAAGACGCCTTCGATCAAGATGACTGGACATATAAGAAGTATTCCTACAAATTTATCAAATACTGTCGCTACGATGAGTATACGTTAGTTTTAGCAATTCATTTATTTTACTTATTAACTAGCATTTTAATCACCAATGAAAACAGAAACATTAAACACAATGTTGACTCGTAATTCCTATGTTGTTAGATTTGACTACTTATGAAAGCTAAATTAAAAATAGATTTATTTTTATTGATAAAAAAATTACTTAACTAATAGCCACATACATGAATTGGTGGTGTTTAGCCAAGTATAATTAATCCTGCTGTACTGTATATCAGGGGCGGCCAAATGATGGATCGCGATCGACTGGTGAACAGTAGATCTTAGGTCTCATTCAATTGACCACCCCTGCTATAACTCGAAACACGTAGAATCATTACTTCATGCTTCTTTGAGGTTAGACTTCCGATAGTTCCATACAACTGTCGTCGACCCTTGGCTCTCTCAATTCGTCAGTATTGTAATGTTCATGTTCGCAGTAACAATTATTGCGTCCACACTCGAGATAAGCGATCGATTTGGGGTCGCTGGACTGGCGGCTGCTCGGTGCGCAGGATAGACGTCAGTGGCGTATATACGCAGCGCACCTGCAGAAACCGGGAGTGGCCTACCAGGGGGCACCACTTTGCCAGCCACAGAATGGCCAGGCTCGAATTTGTGCTCAATGTAAGTTGTATATATTATGTTGTATTTTTTACTATTTTTTTAATTTCACGTTGGCAAAATTGTATATTACATTTACCGGAAAATGTTAACTTTTGGAAAGTATGGTATTTCATTATGTTGACATGTTGGGGAAAAAATTAAAACCACTTTTTTATTTCCAGGGCGTTAAAGACGGGTGTACAATAAGTCCGGGTGCATCTCTGGTGCCACTTTCAAGAGGAGTCTCTTTGTACGCTCGCTTCATTGCCTGCGTGTGTAAGGAGTCTTTGTGCAATGCTGGCGTCTCATACATGTTGCTTTCATACGTACGGTTATTTGCTCATAGCTTGGCTCCTTTGATACTTTTAGCCACGTAGTAGTCACGGTAATAAGGCAGCGGTAATAACGATTAGCTAATGGAAAATTATCGTAATTTTTGTAAAGTTCGTTTGGTTTCGAATAACGTTGATGTGTTTGTGCCTGTTTTTGTCCTATTTTAAATTGTATTTATACGTCCTTGTGCTGTTTGATATTGTTATTGTAAAATGATGAAATCGTCATTTTAATTAAAAGACTTTTATTTTATTGACTCATTATTGCTTAACGCCGAAATTTTAACCTACAAGTCTGTGCTTAGTACATAAGCACCAGCTGTTAAAAACAGAATAAAAACGCTATATACTTTCTTCCTAAGAATATTTACGGAGATGTGCACATTTATATAAGATGGAAAATACATTTTCCCTGGAAAATTCTAAGAGTAATTTATTTTGTGCAACCATTGTGGGAAAGCTAGGGCAAATCAAAATGGCCGCCGCGCCCACCTGTTTGCGTCAGTCTACGATTGGTCGGGGTCCGGGAACACCCCTTGTACCTTCTTGGAAATGTAGAGGTGGCAGGGTTGGAAATAACCTAATACATATTTATGTATCAACCTCAAGATAAGGTGAATAAATTTGTGACGCTTTGGCATTTCAGCCCACGGGACTGGCAAATATATATATTGACATTTAATGGTAAGAATTTTCTTTGAAAATGTTTATCGTAAGAATGAAAATTGAGATTGCGGTAAGATTATTCGCAATAATACGAGTATGTTGTTACATAACAAAAACCGAATAAAAACTTTTCTCATTATAACAAAGCGTAGATAATCAGTATGTTTGTGTGTAGTGTCCAGGGGTCGCAATCAGACCCCTGCGTTGACCGCGCCATACGACACTGCAGAGTTAATTGCATTAAGCTTGTTACGTTTTATTGCACTTCCCGGCAGATAACGAAATTCGATCTTATCAGATCCGGCTCTGAAATTAACGCACATCTCCCGAACTTATATTGTCCACAAATAAAATAGAAATACAAATACTTCAGTAAGCTCTACAAATAAACAAAGTTATTAAAGATGGAAACTTAAATTATCTGGAGAAAAATCCCAATTAGCAACAATATTCAACATTGGTATATATCATTGTTTTAAATTATTATTGCTTGAATCTTTGTGGCAATTGAATTTAACAGCTTCCTAAATATACATTACTTAAAAAAGCCATTATAACTATTAACATTAGATATCCAAACTAAACTACTATCAACACATATATAAATAGTTTTATAAAAGCTCTTAAATAAACAAACATATAAAATATATTAGGGTGGACTTTGGCAGTAAAAATCCATCTAAATGTAGCCAGAGTCAGTGAGGCGTACATCGTTAAATGGCGAGCCGACTGCCTTTAGCGGTGATTCGTATTTATGTGTTATTTTATTGAGTTATCTCCACTAAGGAATCCTCGTGGACATTTGGTTTAGGGACTGAGTGTTAGTTGATTGAAATTTAAGAGCATTTAAAATCTGTGCAGTTAGATGTAGCACTTAGCAAATGACGTATATGCTTCGTTTACCTTAAAATTAATGATTGGAAAATGATTTTAATAAAATGATTTGATGGTAATAAAACCTTAACAGAGTTGTAGTTACATATCTTACTAATATTATAAATGTAAAAGTTTAGATGGATGGATGGATGGATGGATGTTTGTTAGAGTTTGTAGCCTAAATGGCTAAATTTCGATGAAACTTGGCATAGATGTAGAGGATAATCTAGAACACATAGGCTACTCAGTTTTGTTTATTTAATCATGCGCGAGCGGAGTCGCGGGCGAAAGCTAGTACATAATAATGACTTTGTATTGTTTACATTAACAATTTAACTATGTAGTGAACACAATAAATACCGATACCTTTTGTTTTGCACTGTTGTTCAAAATGACTCATTGTCAAACAATTTTATGTTATAGAGGTTGTGGAAACATTTCTTTAAGTTACTGAGGGCCAATACAGAGATTACTTATTTAAGTTAAAGAGGTTGCGTATTTTAAGTTGTAGAGGTTTTGGACTCTGATGGGAAGGGAATATAGTATTTTTTGAAGTTATCGAGGTTCTACTGTATTTCTAAAAGTAATAAGGGCTAATGTTGTATTAAAACTTACGCAACAATATTTCATGATGTTGGCATTCAAAGTTTTTTCTAACATCATTTCGTAACAAATGTAGTATACATTTTAACCATAAACAACTGTTTTCTATTCAAAAATTTATAAATTCATGTGTTCAATGATACGAAGACGATATCGAGTGATAAAAACTCGCATGTTACACACGTTGCTAAAAATATGAATAAAATAAAACGTCATCGGAGAATGTATGGATGGCTGTATGGTAATGCGAGAGTCAATGAGGCGTGCGCCCCCCTCAGACCTTAATCATGGGGGAGGGGAGTGGTGAGCTTTGATTTATTTTCGGCACTTAAGTTGAATCGCTTGTTTAACTATCAGATTGGTATCGGGGTTTTAAAGGTATTTTTCTAATATTGCTACATTAAAACATATATTTTCTCTTATATAAAGTTGTCCTACAATAGATTCAAATTGGCCGTGAAGATGAAACGATATGATTAAACATCTAAAGGATTTACGTTACCTAGAATTGATATCAATGTTTCATCTTGACTGCCAATTTGAATCTATTGTAGGACAATTTTATTTAATTTTAAACGTATTAACTATTTTCTTTCAATTACTTGACTAAACATCTCAGGTCTCTCCGTTTTTAACTTTATTCAAGAGATATTTTGGGATTTTATCCTTAAACCTGGCCGTTTAACATAACCACTTAACATAACTAACTAATTATGAGAGTATTAGAGTTTTATGCCTAAACTACTGAACGGACCTCGATGAAATTTGACATAGATATAGAAGATAGTCTGGAAGAACACATAGGCTACTTGCTTTTGTTTTTTTTTATTCCGCGCCGACGGAGTCAAAAGCAAAAGCCAGTTTTCAACAAAATACATCTCAAAATTGCTAACATTTTTAGCAACGCAATTTCGAGCATATAAGAACGTTACATTTATTTACTGATTCTTTTCTCAGTTCGGCAAACAAAACAGTGAAATGCAACTTAGAAAAAGCCTCCCGCGACAGATCGTGCGCTTCCGGCGCGCCATTTCCGCCGTGACGTCATCCGGATCCGCCCTACGAGTATAACGATAGAGCAACTACGAATTTACTACTATAAATCCGGGATAGAAAAAAAAACTAAAAACAGTAATTTTTATTGTTGTTGAGAGTTCGAAATTTAAAAAAGCATCAAGCTTTAAGTAAGTTACAAATAAAACTAGTATCAATTGAAAAAATATATAACAAAACCAATTCACCAAACTTTACTTATTTCTACCGATCCAAACTCTGCGTACTTGGAAGTGCAAGTGGGTTTGATGGCTTTAATTACTGCATAACTAACACGTTTTAATATATTTAATGACTGAACTTACAAATAGATTGCAGTTTGATCACAAATTCATACATTCTCTGATGTTCCAAATTTGTGGTCACAACAAATCGCAATTTGTTCGACGAAACGGGCCATTGTGCTCTACGAACGTTTGCTCGTAAACTTTTATTGTTTACTTGATATTATTAATATTTATTTGGAAATTTGGCAATCCACTTCGTCCGAAATGCAAGTCAGGAGCTCCCTTTGTTATGTGATTGATTCATATTTCTTACTGTCACGAAATAGCTTGCTCAGAGGGCACTTGTATAACAAAGAAATCTATCTCTTGCAACACAAAAACAAAATCATTAATAACATTTTTGCTTCGGTTAAATGACTTTCAAAATTATATAGTGAAAGATAAAATATTAATGTTACTATAATGTATTTGTATTTTTTTTTTTGTATTAAAACAATTTGGTTTGGTGCAAACATCAAAACCAAAGTCAAGCAAACCATTTTCTCTAATATTTCTTTCTTACTTTAACACAATGATTTTTTTAACTTAGCTATCAATGGCATTTTTCTGAGTAAATTATGCAATACACAGCGAAAATGTTATCAATTTTATCTTAAATCATCCACTTGCCCTTATCGCTTACGGAGGATCGGCACAGTATGTGCTGCTCATCCATACATCTCTATCAGCCGTCATATCTGAGTCCACTCCTTTCTTAAGCATATCCTCTTTCACACAATCCATCCATACTTTTTTCGGTCTTCCTCTTCCTTTGTAGCCATCCACATTCAATCTTGACACTTTCTGGTTTATGTCCCCATCATTTCGTCGCATAACATGTCCATACCACGCTAACCTTTTGCTCCTCAATTTCTCCACCACTGGCGCTACTTTCAAACTTCCTCTAATGTACACATTCTTAACTTTATCCATTCTTGTCACACCATTTTTTTTAATTCAATTTTATCTTACAAATATAACAAATGGATTAATTACAACTTACGCAAAGATAATTTCTTTGTTCTCATTATTTCGAAGACAATAAATTTAAAACTAAACATCACCACGGGCATCATTAAATTAACAATAAAAAGTTTCGCCTTGCCTTTAAAAACACAGACAATTAATAATGGTTTCGAATTAAATTGTATCTCCGCAAATGTAGTTTTCCCGTTGCCCTCCGAATTACACCCCCATCAACCATCCCCCGGGGACTCGTAACATTTGTTATTTTAACCATTAACAACATTTTAATTGTCACCGCCGCTACGTTGGCGCTACGCCCGAGCTACGACCCAGCTACGAGAGACCCGAGTTGTTTTAAGTAAGTGCTGACACAAAGGAAGAATAAATAATAAGGAGCCAAGTTATTAAATCAATATTTATCGAAAACAGTATATCTGAGTAGGGAAAAGCAGTTTTTATTAAAAGGGTTGGTGTGATTTCATGTAATAGATAATATGAAATTTTTATAATGTTTTTATGTTTTTTAAAACTAGCTTTCGCCCGCGACAACGTCCGCGTGGAATTAATAAATCAAAAGTAAGTAGCTAGTGTGTTCTTCCAGACTATCCTCTACAA